CCTTGCGACAGAAACATCGTCGTTGTTAGAACGGTGCTTTCCCAACAAGCCCTCTATTACTTCTTTGATTGCCTGCCATGCATTCAATTCAGCGTCAATCAAAATATTCTTGAATGCGTTGGAAAAAATTAATTTGTTAAGTGGAAAACCATGGAGAATAAGGAAAAAAATTTAAAAGGTCATAGAAAAAACTGACACATACGAACGCCAAACCCTTTGAGGGTTTTACTATAATGACCTAGTACCATCACCCTGACTTGGAATTTCTCACCCCTCAGATTAGTTGCTGTACTGTGTTATGATAAAATGCACAGTCCATTATTCTGCAAAGGATCTTATAGACAAACATTATACATGTAAACATACTATATGTAGGTAGTCTCAAGGTTTTGACATTAACTGTTGGGAAACGTCCGTTAATTGAAGGAAAAATAAAGATATTATATTCCTTACTGTTAGAAACATTCTTTACATACTTTTTTTATATAATAATGAAAAATTGAATTTCGAATATTTATTAACTGCAAAACATATTTTCTCGTAAAATAGTGTTACTTACTTAAAGCCCAGCTTAATTTGATCGATGGTTTGCACGGCTGCCATGTTGCTTGCGATTATTTGGTCCCGCTTTAATTACTTAAAACTTGCACTTAAAGTGTAACTATGTGTGTTTGCTTCGCGGGATTTACAGTAATTACACAAGATAATGAAATGGTCAAAACAAATTTATGTAAGTATTTCGTTTCACTGGCGTTTGTATTAAGTTAATCGGCACTCACTGGAAATTGAAAAGACACATTTCTTGAAAATATATATTTGATTTATTATTTGGAATTATGAACTGATACACGGCAAGAATAACAACTTACAAAGGTATGCAAAAAATTAAATAAAAAGGATAAATATGAAATCCTTATTGAAGGGTTTCAATTAATAATACTTTTGTAAGAGTATATCGCCCTACCAAAATTTAACGCGTGTAGCGCCGTGGGTGCATTTTTTGTGGTTTGGAATTCAATGCAACAACCCTAGTAAAATGAACAGTAACAGCGCTAGAAAAAATAAAACACATCTGCGTGGCCATACATATGAACAGCGCATAACTATATATTATATAATATCTGAAGCGGTTGGCAACGCTCGATAGTTTAAGGGAACATCTTCGGCAAAATTTTAACTTCAAATGGAGTTGAGCAATTCCGGAGATTAAGAATACTAAAAACTTAAAGAAAAATTTTGCAAAATAATTAATTGTCTAATTAACTAATTTTTTTGTTATTAGTTATTTAATTTTTGTTTTTGATTTTTTATTGATTTTTTTAATTCTATTGGAACTACAATATTTCAAGAATTTTTTAAGCCAACAGCTGTTTTTAGTAAAGTGCCCTTCATATATCAACAACGGCATATTTTGAAACCTTAAATGAATGCTTCAATATGCTTCAGACACACCTATACACACACATATAAATAAATATGTATTTTCCTTTGCATGCTGTTTTCTATGTATCTCGGCAGGATTTACCTGCTAAACTTTTTGCTTCAGGAGAGCTTTCGCCAGCATATCCTTGCAAGAACGAAAAGCTCGTGCAGCGTTATCAATTTTATCTACCACACACAGATACGGTTACGTGCGTGTGTTTCGCATTTGAAAACAATATTGTAATGTGAAATTATCTATTACTGGAAAATATAATATAATCCGCACATATGTAAGTGTAGGTATGTAATTATTTGTAAAATATATATGTATGTATATCACAAGCTTGCTTTTTGTTGCTTAGTAAAATATTTGCAACAACTTTTTCACTAATTCTTCACTTCCTTTTGTACGCAATTTAGTTCAATTTACTTTTATTAAACTCTGCAATTCCATTCTGTATTTTCAGGTAAATTCTTTTGTGTGCACAAACGTTTTAAGCTTTTTTTTTGGGCGCACTTACACCCACACGCCACACAGCGCTGATTAGCGTATAAATTTTTCTTTTCGATATTGTTGATTTATTGCTAAACCAAATAAGTTGGTTGTTTGGTTGATTGGTCTGTTTGTTGAGGGCTTACCGCCAGCACACGTCGGAGTCGGAGTCGGCGTATCGAGCGCAACGTGAATTTGTAACACTGGCAAAGCGACCGTTTAGCGTGATGGCAACTCATCAACTAACTGGCTGTGCCAGCAGTTCCACAGCTGCCACAGTGCGAAAATGTTGTCGCTGCTGCTTCGGTTGTGTTGATGTGTGTGTGTGTGTGCATAAAAAGTTCTGATAACTCGTATGCTTTCTGCTTGCTGCAACAATATAATTCAATATAGTTGCTGGCTGGTGTGTGTCTGCGTGCGTGTATGTCAACACTCATTACTTATGTATGCGCGCAAATTCTTTCTATTTACACACACATATACATATATGTGTCAGCTTTAGAAAAACAGTATATAATGGGCGCCTTATGCTGCCGGCTTGCTTCTAAGCAAATTTATACAAAACCTCTCATATATATGTGCATGTATTCTAACGGAAAAAATCAGCTGTTTCCGAATTTTTTGTGCACATGAGAGCGCGAGTGCCAATCGCGAGTATTGTGTGTTGCTCTTTTTTGCTTTTATACACACCCACATGCTCCTTTTCAGTTCATTTTGAAATGTTGCGGTTCGTTAAGGTTTCTAATTCGTGTAAATTATGCAAATACGTCAGCAATTTACAATTACAATTTATATCTTAAATAGGTGATAACGAAGCGCAAAGTTGATTAAGATTTAATCAAATAAAATAAAGTTAAATTTACAGGTCTGGCGCTTTGTTATTACTGCGCTTGGTACTTGTTGTTGTAATTGCCGTAAAAGACGCGTATGTACAACACGAAAAAAGCTAATAAATAAAATATGAAGATTTAGCTTTACAAAAGCAAATAATATTGGCTTATGCATCTTTAGTCATATGAAAAAAGTTCAAATGTTTTCTAACACATAAAATTATTATATACACTGGAAGCTAATATTTCGACACAAGCCATTTGCAGTGGCTAATAAAGCATTAAAACTTGCTGGATACGTATTTTTATCTATTTTATTTCGAGAACTTCAACTTCTATAAAATACATGCAAAAAATATTTTTCACGATTTTTTACTCAAATTATGTAAAAAGGTTAAATCCAAAAATTTTCAGGCTATTTTTGGTTTTAACTTTTTATTATTTAATATCTGAATAATGAAAGAAGAAGAAACCCGAAGGTCAAATATTTTTTACTAAAGTGAAAAGCCGAATCTTAGGTCAGTATATTTATGCTGGAACACTAGGCGTATTAGCAACCTACGCAATTTGCATAGAACAATAATTTTATTTGGAAGAAACATTGCGAAATGATAAGTAAACATTATGATATGGACACAAAAAGCTCCTAGTGAATAGACTGAATAGGTATAAACGAAGCAGAGTTGACAATAGCCGACAGCTGGTCAGCTAGCAAAGCTTTATGATATCATTTGGCGCGGCATAAACAAGAGACCCAAAAGCAAACACAAACAAAAAAAAAAAAAAAATTTGAAGTCAGGATGCTTCACAAGGTTAGCAGATACATACATATAATAGTAAAAGCTTTCGTACGTTGTGCACATTTAAATACACACTTTGTTGTTGTGCGGTGTCTGCAGCTTTTCCGGGAAGCTTGTTTCATTTATGCAGAAGTTGTCGCTCATGAAGCTTTATTAGAATTGTTGCAAAGCTTTCTATTGAAAAATGAAAATGCTAGTATTTATTGCAATTGCTGTCATTTATTTACATTACCTGATCACAGTAATCAACCGTTTTCTACGATAAATACACGCTTAGCATGTGGTCACTGTTGGCATGTCATGTTCATTGCCTGCAGCAGCTGTGCATTATCAATGTTTTAAATATTTCTGGAAACTGAAGCGCGTGCCGACGGAGCACATACTATGTACATATGAACATCTCGAGATGTGAGAACTTTTGTTAATCAAAAGCTGGTGGCATGGAAATCGTGTATCTGTGCTTTTCGTGGTTTTTTAAATATCACGTAGTTATTTAGTATTGCATTAATTGCGGATTAAATGGAAACTGTTATGTTTAGGTGGATGCAAATATTAAATTTAAACATTTTACGATCTTTAAAATAATCACTTGGTATAAGCTTGTATTTGACTGACAAATTAATTGGGTGATAGTTATCTAGAGAGGACATCAAGTTTGATGGCGGCAAACACATGAAATTTATTGTATACATAGATATAGAAGTATACATGTATATATTTATATATTTATATAAGAAGCGAAGCAGTAACTACCAAAAAACTTTGCTCTCCTTAAATACTTTGAGGATTGATGCATTTTTAAGCTTGAAACCGATATCCAACTAAAGTCTGCTTTAAGACCTTTTTTCATAAGTTGGATAAAAGTGCGATCACAAAAGCTGTCTAAGACAAATATATTGTTTTATTGAATTATTTGAAATTTCAACTGCCGTTTAAGCAAGTGTCTAGTTTTCGTATTCCGAGAGTTGTGGGCAGCGTATTCTTTGTAATATTTTATTTTAAAAATTTCTAGTGTTAAATATTTTTTATTTTTATTCTATTATTTGCAACTTTATCTACTGCAGCTTAGTCATGATATTTTGACAATATTTTTTTCATTTCTTCTAGTATATCATCTCAAAATTTATAAAACGTTTGGACAAAGACTTAGAGCTTAACATTCACATTTCTCTTAATATCACAATTATAAAGAATATTGTGTAATTCTGAAAACAGAACCGGTAATATAATGGGAAAATCATACCTTCAGTTCAAATTGCCTTAGCCATGTCCGGATTTCAACTTACAATAAAAGCTTAAAAAATATAAAGGTATAACTTTCAGTAAACTTTTTTTAAATGTGAAAAAATATTTGCTATCCATCGCTCAAAATATTAATGACTTTTCACAGTTTACCCAATTGTCGCCATTTACTACTGTTATGTGCGTGTGTTGGGTAATTCTGCAGTGTCATTTAGTAATTGTTTGCATTGGGTATTTAAGCGCAAGCAGCACCCTTCTCGCTTGCCATCCTGCCTTTCGTTACCCATTGCAATGTTGAAACTTTGAAGGCTCTTCGGCAAACTCTCTACCATTCGGCCTACATCTCTTAAGCTGCGGTTGCCTACACAATTTTGTTGTGAGAGAGGCGTCGGTCTATGTGTTGAGTTTTGTTGATGTAAAGATAACATTTTAGTGATTGATTGCCCAGCATATTGGGGTCATGTAGCTGTCATCCCTTTTGGTTAATATCGATTTTATTATTATTGTTCATTGTTATTTCAAAGTTACGGCCTTTATTGAGTTCATTGACACTATTGTGGTAAGATGCAAATAAAAGCTGAATGCTTAAATGAATATTGCGTATGAAACGAATTGTTAAATACATCTATTTGCCAAATAAAATTAGCATCTATTATATTCTCTGAGCAAATGAAAGTTGTAAAGGGATCAACTTTGTCAAAAGTATGAGTTCATATCGTGCTAATTGTTGGGGGAAAAAATGGGGGGGAAAAAAACACGAAAAATAACAAATGTTCTGGAGGAGCAAGAGCAGTTCCTGTTCCTTAAAATTTTAAGGACAAATCGTCGCCTAGTTGTAAAATATCAAGTTTAAAAAAAGTTTAACCCAAATAGGCTTTTCCAGTTTAGCAGGGAAGTTAAGAGGCATTTTGGAGTTAAGATATTGTCTAAGAGTGTGATAAAGACAATTTTTTCATCGGAAGTGACACATTTCATATAACACAAATGATTAATAAAAAATTTTGCATAACTTCGCAGAAAACTTACGCTTTATTTCAGCAAAAGCGCCAAATAGACTCATTAGCTTCTTTGGAGAAGCTTTTCGAATAAATGGCAGACTGGCAGACTGGGAATAACTCCCATAGCTAAGTTCTGTCCTTTTAACTGAGTGTTCGTTGCTTTTCAATAACACAGAATTCAAATGGGGAGTCGTGCTATTGTTGGAGTACGGAAAAGGGCTGAATCAAGGTGTCATGCGACCCTTGTCGAGGACCAAACGAGTTCCGTGCCATTTATGCAACAAATTCAAAGAAATTGCTACAGATAAGTACTAGTTTTCTACACAAAAATGTTCTCATATTTTTCGAACATGTTTATGTGTGCACAGTTTAACATTTACGAAAAATGTCTGCTCACAGTGAGTACACGCCTAAGCTCCGGCTTAAGTAAATGCATTTTTTATTCTGTGTATGCAACATAATTAAATTTGAAATAACATAGCATTCTCTTTTTGCCCTTCATACGTACATATCAACACATGTCTTCTACAAGCATGTATTTATAACACCTTCATCTACCCACACACCACAAAAGAGAGTTTTAAATTAATTCACAGGCACATAAAAAGCTTAGCGCTTTCATACAAGTTTATTTATGAGTTTCCCCTTTTTAGTCGGTTTGCTGGCTGCTAGGCGACATGCTTGTGTATGACTGTAATATCATTACGAAAATATGTAATGAAATTACTATTGTTAATTACTGCTCCGTCGTCAGAAGGGCTCAACTTATGCTGGTTTTCGCGGCCAAAAGCAGGCGAAACGTCCGGTCACATTATTATTTAACTACATGTGCATGTGTGTACATATGTGCATATACTGGAAGCTCGTGTAAGTTTTAATTACAAGTTAAGTCGCAGTAAGTCGAACTTTTTGGCTGCAGATGTGAGTTTGAGGTTGTGTGTGTAAGCAATATATTAATCGTATATTTTCTTTTATATTCCTGCCATGTTTCAAGTGCGTCCATGCAGTCAAGAGCTCTTCGTTTATAAAATGATACAATTGCGTGCATATTTTCAGTGGAGCGCCATGTTTATAGGGTATATGACTACATTCGCTTGTAAAAAAAAAAAGTTAATTGTTGCACAATTTCTCATATATTCCTTTTAATTACGTTTTTTTTTTAAATTATATTCCATATACAAAAGAAATTTAATGTTTTGCCATCAATATGATTAACTTTATCCATACCCACCTATAGCGGTTTTCAACGGAAGACTAAAAAATTCCCATAGAAATTATAAAATACTATATACTTGTTCTGTTTAAAATAAAAATCCGATTATATGAAGTTTTACAGAAAGTCACCCAAAAAAGTTAGTTTCGCCTAGCACTGAAAAAAGCTCACATATGCAACATTAATATGATTATATAATAACATTAATATTTTTCGCACTATTTTTTAATTTTATATTACATTATTTTAATTTGTTCTCAGCTTAATTTTTTCGAGCGTTCGCAAGTTACTCATACCACATGTATGTCCACTTATATTAGGGAAGCATGTATTAGCACTCAGTTGAATAATCATTTTTATTTCCAAACAAAGATTTTCGAGCTAATTAATGCACTTACATATATTTATATCCATAAGCTTGAAGGATTCCAAATTTTTTGCCAATGAGTTATGTTATACATAATTAAAGCTAACATAGACCTGATGCTGTTGCTAAACTACATAAACATTAGAGCGGGTTGATTCACAGGAAGCTAAAAAAAAATAAAAAAATTGTATATGCTGGAAATAGAGAGAGAAAACGAGCAAGCGTTTTATGGCACGAAATATTTTGGAATTATAAAAATTTGTTCAACAGGTTTTGAGATATCCGAACGAAATTGAATACGTAGGTGCATTTTGATATGCTATTGATAATTGATCGGATTCGTCAGATCGCACAATTTTATCGCATGTCTTAAAAATCTCTGACTCTAACCCGGGTTTAGCGAGCGCATAGTGTCTTAGGCAAAGCTGGTCAGAATGATCCCTGAAACATTTCTCGCAAACGTGATTTTATAGAAAAGAATCGGCCAGCTCTCGTCTATGCATATGCACTACCTATGTATATAAAAACTGATATCTTTTAGTTATTGAAATGAACAGCACACCATCGAAAGAATATGGTATTGAAAGCTACCTGAGATACTTCTACTGCAATTTGTGGTATATCAAAGTTTTCAACTATGAATCTATCAGAGACGCAAGCACTTTTAATAGCGACATCTGTCTGTCAAATTTATACTTTTGGTGTTGTGAAGATCACTTGGTGAGTGTAGTAACTATATACAAATAAAAGTAACTTAGAGAAAATCTGTGTTAATGGGTGTTGTATGTTTAAAAATCTGTAATGTGAGGAAAATTGCTTAATTAATATTTCTTGACTTCGAAAAAAACGCTTCCTTTTTCTGTTGTTAACTGGATGATACAAAATTTATTTTTAGTTGCTGCTTACTTTATACTAAGAGCAAATCTATTCTAAATTTCTTGAAAGTGTTTATGAGTTCATTAAGATCCAATTGATAATTCTAACCGAAATTCTTTTGTATGTTCTTCTCTTTCTTATAAAAAGGCTTTGTGGCTTTTACGGAATGTATGTGCTAGTATCCGCGCTAATTCTTTCATTGCATAGACTTTTCGATAGTTGTGGCTTGCTGGGTAATTAATAACTGGCTGTCTCTAATTGTACCCTGAATAGTGTATAATAAGTTAGCCACAAAGTTTATAACACCCAAATGAGCCTCTATCAAATATATATGTGAATGGTCAGCGTGAAGAACTGGGTCGAGTTAGTCGATTTAGCAATGTCTGTCTGTATGTCTGTATATTAACGAGCTGTTCAGTCTCAGTTTTTAAGATATCGATCTGAAATTGTTCACACCTTAATTTTTCCCTAAAAAACCGCTTAACTATAGCAAACGCCGATTGCAAACAACTATTATATATAGCTGATGTACAAACAGAGCGATCGAAAAGGTGCGCTTCTACGGAAAAAATCTTAAACTAACATTGAAGCGCTTCTTTTATAGCTTTAGTTGCTTCCTCTAAATAGACTAAGTGTGAAGCACAAACATAATGATTTAGTTTAACATGTTAATTGACTCTAATTGGGCCACTTAAAAATGATACACATACACATGAAAGTACACAAATGTCAAAATAAAACACAAATTTGCCAGTTATATACAAATTAAATATGTATATATATATTTAAATATTTATGTACAAATATGCTAATATATGAAACTGTTATACAAATAAATAAAGTTCGAACTGCTTAACAGTACAAAATAACTAACACTGATCGTACAGAGTTTAGGTATATTTTTCACTTAATATCACATATGAGGGATGTATTTTGAAACACCTTCCAAGGCTTCCTATGAAACACATACATTTAAATACGCCATGTCTGTAGTTACATCACGTGCGGCCAACCCATCACAAGCAAATTCTCTCAACTGTCAAACGAAGTGGCTAAGCAACAAACCAAACCACACAGCAGACGGGAAAACGCAATTACGCGCCCGAAATAAGCACGAACTCAATAGAGTAGGGCTTTATCTGTGTACATTTCATCCCACAAACGCAGCTTTTCTGCCTCGGGCAGATCTATCACCTCCAACTCATCGGAGATATTCAAGCATTTGAATATGTGCGAGTCGCGTGATACCGGCAGCCATGTCTCTTGTGGTGGCGTTTCATTTTTCGTCAATGCCGCCTTCACCTCCAGTGCCGGCTCGATGCCGTCGCTGACGCTATCATCAAAACTGCCGTCCGTACTGTGCTCTCGGCTATGGTGTTCGTGCCCATCACCATTTGCCTTGTGTTGCACATTTTGAAGCGCATTGCTACTGCCATTTTGATTACTGGCCTGAACTGGTTGCATGTGGTGCGCCGGTTGCCGATGGTGATGGTGATAATGGTAGCTGTGGTCGTGCCCTTCATTCATCGGTATATTTGGATTGCCGCATTCAGCGAAACGCACTAGCATTGTGGTCAATCGGCGAATGGTGCGAAATTCGGCACTGCGTTGTTTCAGCTTCTTGGCACCCGCATTGTAGAATAAGTAAGAGAGATCGTCAGCGTGACAGGTGCCGCGCACGTTGCGACCACAGGTGATGATGCGCATGAAATTGAAGTGCTTCGAATCGAAATCGAAACGATAGAGGTAAGTAGGCGAATTGGCGTGATGAAGCCGTGAAAGTAACGTACGATGGATGCCATGCCAAAAGTATTTGTAAGAGAAGATCTGAAATGAAAGGAAAGCACATTTCAGAATTTAGAGATAGAGTAACATCTAAGTACCAGAAATAAGTTGCAGTTTGATAAATGCATGGTTATGTGGTGACTTATGCTTGGCTTTAGAATGGTCAACCTTACAGGTAAACCAACTGCCGAAAAAATATACCATATATCTGTGGTGGAGCTTATGTCACTAAGATTTGGGGTTCATCTTCAAAACCAAGTGAACTTTCAAATATACATAGTTAGATTTTTTTTAAACTTGGTATATAGTCCAGTGGACTTAAAAATTATGTTCTCTGGATGGACCATGCATATATAAGTATATTAAAAACAAACAAAAACTGGGTTTCAAAAGTAATGTGAGCGCTTAAGAAATTTCGAATATATTCAGCTCAGATATATTAGAATAAGTCCACTATACCACTTAGTCATAATTTATATACTCACATCGGCATACTGCAATACCGTTTCCCAACGAGGTTCATTGTCGCCGAAATGCAGACGCAACAACTTCTCGCCGTAATCCTTTCGCTGGGCCATATTCACATTCGCATCGTCCGGCACCAAATATGTGGCATCTTTACTCAATTTGTGCATTAGTTCCGGATATTTGCGCGCCTCGGTGAACATTAGCAGACCCTCTGAACTATTGCCACCAATTAGCAAGGGTATTTCATTGCCCCAAGCACTACGCATCATTTCTAAAGGTGGACGCGGTATAACACAATGTTTGCTCACGTATGGCTCTACTGTCGGCCCAAAACTGAACATCATCCTTTGATGACGCTCATCACTGGTGAGCAGATCTTCGCATACCTTCACCAAGCTGCTCGCTTTGCAGTGCTGCAAGTGTTCGAAAACTTGCCGATCTTCATTTTCGCCGCGGTAACCAGTGGCTTTCGCCAATCGATAAGCCCAATTGTATTGAGGTATATTGGCCCATGGTGCCAGTGCGGTACCAGACATTAAGACGCACTTGTGAAATAGATCACGAGCTTGTTCGGTCAGCATCATGTAGTGTGTTGAGGCAGCACCAGCGCTTTCGCCAAACACTGTGATATTATCAGGATCACCACCAAAGAATTGGCAATTGCGCTTAACCCATCTTAAGGCCATCACTTGGTCTTTGAGACCGGCATTGCCAGGCACATCCAGCTCGGGGTCCTCCAGCACGAGGAAGCCTAATGGGAATAGTAAATAAACAAAGAGGAAAATTAATTATGTGTCATGTCTGATCAGACTCCAATAAAGAATCACTTCAACTATCCCCATAACTGCTGGATAATTAACTAAATAATAACTTAATAAAACTGAAATTACTGCGCTAAGCCTTTGATAGACCACACTTTATTAAACAGAGACATTAACTCGGTGACATTGTAATCTGCTTACCCAGTGGACCCAAACGGTATGTGATGGTAATGACTACAACATTCTCCATCATGAAGTAGTCAGGACTGTACATATCACGCGAAGCTTCGCCCATTTGAAAACCACCACCATAGATCCAAACCAAAACCGGCATCGGCTTCTGCGGATGCAGCTTTAAAACGAATTTCATTAAAAGCAATTAGGAATATACATGAATAATATAGGTATGATTTGCGTTAAGAAAATTTGCTGTTTAAGGGCTCACCGTTTTTGTGAACACATTCAAATAGAGGCAATCCTCACGGCCTTGCACCTGCTTCAGTATAATATTGTATTGACATGGTTTGAGGTGTTCACGCGTGCAGCGCCGAACATCCGTCCACGGTTCGGGCTCTTCGGGTGCTCTAAAGCGCAAACGTCCAATCGGTGGCTTCGCGAAGGGAATACCCTCAAAACTATAATAAGAACCTCCGTAGACCGAATGCCATTTGACGCCCTTTACTTTGCCGTAAATTGTGTCGGTCACAACCTTTTCATTTGTGCGCATGCGCCTCTGATTAGTTTTGAATTTTACATAGCTGAAAGTGTAAAGTAGTAAAAGTAGGGTTAGATAAAAGTTAATATTTTCAGCCGAATAATATTACGTTATTGCCGAAGCTTAAATTGTGTTGAGTGTATAAATGACGCTTTAAGTAATTTGAAAATATGTGCCAATCTCTCATCATAAATTTTACACGAACCCGGAGTGAACTTATGCTAGCCGCTGATAAGAAGCAAGCTGCCGGCTGGCTTATCGCTGCAAGAGTCGCACATACAATAAGGCACTTGGAGCCGTTGAGCATGAAACAAATTTAAATGCCATAATTTTCAATAATTAGGATGTCTTGTTCCGCTTAGGCGTCTTTAAGGAACAACAAAACAAACACACATTGCTCCACATACACACATGCTGTTGCTATATTTAAGATTATATTTAACTTTTTTTTTTGCAATTCTATTTTATATTTATTTACGTCAATCAACAAATATGCAGAAGCTCTAAGGTACAATGTACAATATATACTTATTTATAAAAATATGTATATGTAGTAAGTTTTCTCAACAGAAAGTCTAAATTCATGGATCCGGCTTGAGTAGACGCTGTGGTAAGCACTTTATCGCCGTGCGCATAAATTGCTCACTTCAGTGCAATTATGAATTCTTTCTCAGGACGTCACTATGTGAGCTTGTAGATAAGACGCGTGTGCATGACTATTTTAATGGAATAATTGCACTTGAGAGATGCGGCTGTCGTAGGTTGCTTCAAATACTTATAAAGTGTAAATTGAACTGGCATATAACAAGAAGTATTCGCATATGGCTTGGTGAATTGATGCGACTTGAACTTTCTCGTTGTAATTTCATTTTATTAACATCTGTTTAAATTATATTGATTGGCATCTCGCGAGGTCATAGCGATAGGAGTTAGCTTGAAAGATCTTGAATTCAATCAACAAGTCATAATTAATGGAATTTTTATAATCACTGGCATTGCACAACAACAGCACTAAGCTTTCGTGCATAACACTCTCCACATGTGTTGTTTTAGAAATGTACAAATGGCAAAACAATAAATAAATATTTCATAAATTAAAAAAAGCATATTTTTTAGAAATGAATTAAATGCCTAGATGTAGGCAACAATTTGCGACGTAAGGTGCAGGCTTCATGCCACATTCCAAGGGCCACTAAAATGACCTAAATATGCCGCATTTTTTTTTTTTTTTTGAAATTATTAAAGGTTTTCAAAGTTTCGAAATTATGGAAAGGATTTATACATAATTTCTTGAAATATAAAGCTTCGACCTAAATTTGGGCAAACTTTATACTGTCACGCTAATTGGGAGAATCAACTGTTTCAACTATTTTGCTCGCTACTGCGCAAATTATACCGCATGAACATGTTACTTTGTGCGTATGAAAGGCGAGTTCGTGCGACATGTTTCGGAAGCCAGTTGCGGAGCAGTCGACTTTGAAATTCTATGGAACAAATAGAAAGAAAAGAAATCTTTATGCTCTTCCCTTATTCTATTTCTACGAACGTCCAACAGAAGCGTCAAAAATTGTACTAGTTTCAAGAAATTTGAACACATTTATCACATATGTCAATGAAATTTTTCAGTTTCATGATTCTCACAAAACAAAAAAAAAAAAAAAAAAAAAAAAAAAAAAAAAAAAAAAAAAAAAAAAAAAAAAAAAAAAAAAAAAAAAAAAAACAAAGAATTCACACATTGAAAAGATTGTCACGAGTGTGAAAATTTCTACTAGTTATAAATATTTACATATGATTATTTATATTTCAATATGATTATCGATACGATATCTTCATTTATAGTTTATTATGTGTTTATTAGTCATAAAACACCACACCTGACAATTGCTGCTCATCACATAAGTATAAAAAGTTGCATTTGAACTTAACACTTTAAGCACTAATTTATAGAGCATAATTTGTCTACGACATATTTGTCATATAAAGCCTAGACAGACCAGACCAACGGAAAACCATTATCGAATTTGTTAACGACTCACTCACTGGTCAATCCTTAAGCAAATGCTTCGAGTCGAAAGTACAATAAATTAAAGTAGTTTTTGCAAATAATTATAATGCGTAATTTATTGCTATCACGTTCAACTTTATTACTTTATTGCTTGCAAACAAGTAATTCCTTAGAATTACAACACAAATTGTAATGCTTTTGCTTATAAATCCATGCATGAGTATGGCTTCAATCAAGCAGTCAACGAATTTGTGTCGAAATTGCTAGTCTTTTTTTTAGTATAAGTTTTTTGGATTTAACGAAAAAGTATCTTTAAGTGATACCTACTTAATGTCTATTCAAGTAATAAGTAGTAAGAAAAATAATACCAGATCTCATTTATATGTAGTTCAGATCCATGGTTACTCCTTCCCACATATAATGGTTGTGTTTCGAAATCTAAGTTGTTTCTATACTATTAAATATGTAAAGTAGCCTTTGAAGGAGCCATAAGTTTACGAGCAGTTCGCACTGGCGTAGTGATTGCTTTCAATTGAGAATATACCCTGTTCAACTTGTGTTAGTTTACTTTTGTTGTGGAAGTGAGCGCTGTGCGGTTACTATCAATGCTGCATTGAAGGAGAACAGGAACGAGCGTTCGAATGCCACATACCCCGCCGCAAGTACATATATACATATAGGTGGTCTCCGATTTGGCGAATTCATCTCCAAATGCCGGCATAAACTACATAGCCACACAGCTATTTAAGCTTGTTTTGTATACGTAAAAGCTTGCTAACATATTTGTGTGGTGTTGTTGTATTCAGCCGACCACAACAGCGCAATTAATGCATTGTAAAATGATTGTCTGATGCAAATTTGTTGTCTGCCTGTCAACGCTTATCGAATTGGATTCAAATAAATGCATATGTATGTACATATATGTGTCTGTCTTTGAATTACGGTTGAAGTTGTATGAAGGTAGATGTACATTTTTCTTCAACAAAATTTAAAAAGAATTTTTTTTCATAGAAGGAAATTAATAATCCTAAAACCAAGGTTGTACCAGTTCACATTCCTTTTGAGCGTGAAATTGGTACCCTCTGAATGCAATGGGTTGTTCATATTAAACATTTATATCTTATATATCATATATTATTTTAATGCACTGTTTTCACATTTGTTGCGCAAGCACATGCAAATTCCCAATGCCGAAACAATATTTCAAACATTCTTGCATTTTTTCCGGTTATGGCGTTCTCTTGAACTTTGTAGAGAGATTTGTATAAGCAAAATATTTATATGCTTTTATAAGAATGGCTTCAAAAGTACGGTAAATATTACGTAAGCATACACAACTCTAAAGCGTTAATGTCAGATTTTGCAATAACAATAAAGATGTTTGCAATTGCTTTATTATACTATTCACCTTGTTATCTCTAAGTATCTAAGTATTAATCCGGGTTGCTAATAGCAAATGAGATGAGATAAGCTTTAATTTATAATGAGGTTGGAGATAATGCTGTATTTACAAGTATAGAGAAATTGAAAAAGGCGGCAAGCTTGAGGAATGAAAAAAAGATTGAAGACACTATAAGTCCATCAAAATTTATTGAGTTATATAATCTATAGGGTTTCGCGATGAAGGTACAATAACTTCAGTATAATATATCAGTTCAAAGTCAAACAAAGTTCTTTTTTATAAAATAAGAAAAAGTAAGCTTTGTAAACTATAAACGTCACTACTTAGGACAAAAAACTGCTCATGCCACTGTGTTAGCTAATTTCTATATCTATCTGTCAAAGTATAAAAGACGATTTGAAAGCTAATACATAGAATTAGATTGGCATTTGTAAAATTCCTGTATAAAATCCATTATTTTTTCTCTCTCTAATTGCTTATCCATTTTGTGGATGATTGTGACTATTTCACACGAACTCAAGGCAATGCAGCATCGTCATCTTTAAAGGTACCTATGCAGATCTCTAGTCAATCAACCAAATGGTCACATGGCTTTTCGCTATGTTAATCAGGGCTTATCAAACAATTACTATCAAAATACAATAGCCTCACAAGCATGCGCATTATTATGATTGATTAGTTGAAGATTACCAAGACTTAGCGAAACCGCTTCCAAAGTGCTGTACACACACACTTATATAGGCGGCGAGTGTGCACTATTAGTCGCTACGAGGTCATAGTTAAAATTACTCGCAGTCACAGGACACACTAGTGGTTACTTCTTGCCAATGTATGCACTTAAAACCAATGGAATACTAAAGCAATCACACCTTATGTTTATGTTTATGACTGGGCATATAAATTAACAAATTAGAAGCTGTCCAGTTATCTTATTTACACGACTGTCTGCCGCAGCGCCAACACCTGTTTAATAATAAATGCGCTGAAATGTTCGCGGTGGTGCTGGAAGCCACCGAACTATGTATATACACACACTTGCCGTAAATAAGTACACGCATATTCGGTCGCCTACACAAACTACCGCAAATGTGTAGGTAATTATGTAAGTGTGTATTATATATTGTGGCAGGGAAAATTTGTTAGACATGAAACTACGAAATACTAATTATATTGCCATATTTTCGCATTGAAGGCATTGTGCGGAAGAATAATTGAGGCGTATGGCACGTGGCGGCTGTGGAATGAGGTGCAAAATGCAAGCCGAATATCTTTTGTGCGCTGGATGCGGGTGCTAATTGAAATATTTTAGTAATATGGATATTAGAAATGGAAATAATCAACTGCAGAAGAAAATTTGTACTTGTTCGAAATCTTCAAAAATGCATAAATATTTAAGATATATGTATGGTGTATTTTAAATATGGAATGAAATATTTGAAAGGTTAAAAACTGCAAACCGGTTGAACTTTTCTTGTATAAGTTCTTATTAGCTATGCCATTAGCAATACAAAAAATGTTGGAGAAATAAAAAGTAAAGCAAACTTTCGAACATCACATCATAATTTTGAACCGATATCGGTGGTGAACTCGTAGTTTAATGATTGCCGTTATCTGGGCAGTGAATGGGATCGGTTGAAGTTCTATAACATTTGCGTTGAGCCAATTTAGTTGTTGTAACTTAAGTGGCTTAAGCGAGATGTACGTTCGACTTATTATAAAGCGCGACCATGCCCACTTTTTAAAAATTGTATGCCCACAAAGGTCCCTAACTTCTGCAATTTTCTGTGCCCAATAACAGTTTTATATTTTAATTTAGTGCTGTTTTCGGTTAATGTCGATTTGTGGGCGTGGCAGTGGTCCGAATTCGCTTATCTACGAACTTGTAATTCTTTTACCTAGGGACCTGCGTACCGTTTGATCAAGATATCTCAATTTTTACTCAAGTTACAGCTTGCACGGACGGATGGAGGGGCAGACAGTCAACTAACTCGAATCGTTATCCTGATCTCTTATATATTATATATTTAACAATATATACTATATCTCTCGATTAGTTTTAGGTGATACATAGAGTCGTTACATACTCGTATGTGAACAAAACTATTATACTCTGCAGCAACATGTTGCATGAGTATAAAAACACTTGCAATTAAAGCGAATGTTCGAAAGGCTTTATAACGGCACACAAAGTAGCTACAACTTGTCAAAAATTTGGTTCCAATATTACTTAATCTGCCTTACTTTTGAAAATTGTCTTCCTCAGTTTACTGTTTGCTGCCTATCAGCATACATACACTCACACTCACACTCTGTATTGGAACATAAAAAGATACCAAGAATTCATAGAATTCACTAAATTGGCCTTAATAAATAAATGTCCAGTCAGCAAGATTGAAATAAATTTGCATTGTATGCAAAGTCGCTTTGTGTATAGTTGGAAGTGTAAAGCCATATAAATAATATATACATGCGGGCGCTGACATGTCTTCTCGTATCATTTTATGCACGGCTATTGTCCGGCAGCGATTTGTTAAGCGTGTTGTTGCTGGCCGCTGAAGGAAAATCAACTTCAATAATTTACTCCGTGATGAAGAATTAATATTTCGTGTGAGTGGCTTCAGCTTGCTTTTATACTAGTTAAGAAGGAAAAGTAAACTAAATTTACCTTAATGCAATGCGCATCTGATCGCCGAACGGTATATCGAAAGACATGCTGGCGCTGTTTTTTGTTTTAGTTGTTGTTGATTAGTACTGCAAAATTCATAAATCGAAGATGACCAAAATGTATTTTAATTTTTTTCGGAAATTTTTTCTTTTATGCAACGCAGTCTTTACTGCAAACTTTGATATTAATTTAATCTAAAAAAATAACGCCCGAGCAATCTATTTCAAGCTCACTTGAATTTTCGTTAATTTTCTTCACTTCATTGAATTTCAATTTAACGCGCATTAACGTCGCTTATTGCTTGTGCTGTCTGTATGTCTCCATGTATGAAATGCCTCAAAAATCGACCGCAGGATAACGGTGCGTATGCGCATGTGTGTCGCTGGCGTTTTAGCGCGCAATTTCGCCGCACTTGTTGCTGTCGTTCACTTTGCTCGCACTTATTGCAACACCTGCGTTCACGGCAAATATCCTGCAGGCCTGTGTGCTATTGACTTTCTCGCCGTGAATTTATTAAATATTATTTCATTGATTTTTTTTTTATTGAAACCACTTTTTTTAATTTATTACTCATGCGTTTGTATTGCTCGGTACCGGCAACCGTGTTGACTGTCCGTTCTGCACAAGGGTTGTTCGCCAACTGAGAATTGCGAAGCGCGAGCAAGGCGGCACAGGCCAACGCGTGGCTATGCACATATACAGGCGCAGCCACTACCTAAATGAATGGGCATACAAATTTGAGTATGTGTATGTGCATGTTTATGTGTCTGTGAATAAGTGGCTGACACGCCACAACCAAACAGTCAGAACAATAATGAGGCGCGCGGATGTGCGACTATATGATGAGAACTCAATTGGGAACTGGTTAGGGAGTAGTTCGAGAAAATCAACTTGTTACTGGTTGGAACAGAACTGGTTAGAAGAAAATTAAGTATACTTGATATTTAAAAAATTGGAATTATTTGTGGTATATTAAACTATAATTCAAATCTTCAATTGTTTGCCGTTTTTATTTTGTTAACTCACACATATTGCTCTTTAAAAATTTTTGCTCCAAGTATCACCAGAATAAATTTGTTTTCAAAACTGCATTTTTTATGTACGCGAGATGTTCAAATGGTAGGTACAAATAATGCAAACTAAAGCATGAACAAATGTTCGAAATATTTTAATCAAAATATTCTAAAGTTGATAACATGAATCAAAACCACTTCGTTTCCAAATTATTACAGAACTAGTCCAATACAATCTGGTTTAACAGCAAAAATACTTAGCATCAAACTCTAAGAAATGCCAATTAACTAACTAACGTAACAACTTAAATGTTTAAGCTGCCACAATAGCCGCTCCAAGAACGTATACTTACATGCTTATAAGAATACATGCACGAGTACGTGTGCATAATGTGTGAAATGAGAGCGTAACAGCTATTGCTTCCATGGCGGAGCGCCGCTAATATGCCAACACCGATTCCGTGTGTATCAATGTTGAACGAGCGTGATTGATACACTGTCGCTCATACGCCTTATCTCGTTGGCATTGCCGCCGTTGTTCATTGTAACTCTCACACTTTTAACTATATACGTACATGTACATTAATATTGATATGCACTGAATTTGTAAATATGCATGGTATCGCTGCTGGCTCTCCATTGCCGGTTGGTCTTCTTGTGCCCTTATTGCCCCATCAAAGCAGGAGGCGATCGATGTATACGTGGCAATAAACTTCAAACAAATTACACTCTAATTTGCAGCACAGGTGGCTACTTTCGGGTGGGTGGAGTGTGACCACACAAAAATTCATATGTTAGTTTGTATATAAATATTAAAATATATTTATGTAAAGGGTCTCAACCTCGCTAAAATATTTTATGTGTAGTTGACGACGGACTGGCGGGAAAATCAATAATTTTTATTAGCACATTGAATAAAAATTAACATTTTTCTATGTCTACAAATATGAATGCTCATAACTGGAAATGCAAATCATTGCTAGTTAGTTTTTTACTGGACGAGATATCCTCACGAACTTTGGCACAGATTATTATTTAAAAACATCGAAGAAAGTTTCCAAACTGGACCACTATAGAGCCCATTCCAACTGGGCAATTAAAATCAAGATAAATATCTTTTTATTTCTTTTTTATGCTATAGGAAATTCCTATGGAGCTCTGGTATGGTGGCCAGCGCTAAACAAACAATAGAATGATAGAAAATTAAATGGAATACAAAGAGCAGCATGTGCGGGTGTTACTGGTGCACTCAGGTCATGTCCGACTGATGCGCTCAATGTGGTCCTGCCTCAACTCCCAATGGACACTTCTAGTCACAAAATAATTCCTATCGCGGCGATAAGAATAAAAGAATTGGGTGGTTGGAATCAGCAGAACTACGGACATAGTGCAATCCTAAACAAGCTCACCATTAATAAATCAGACTACATTCTCCCAAAGCTGGATTTCACTAGACACTTCCAGGTGAGGATACTATCTATATAAGAATGGAGAAGAGGTTCTATAGCAGAGGCGGATACCATCTCAGTCTATACCGACGGGTCCAAAATGAACTGCGGAGTAGGTACGGGGGTATTTTCCGCTGATCTAGGCATATCTCTCTATATACATCTACCGAACTTGGCTAGCATCTTCCGATCAGTAGTACTAGGCATAGAAAAACGCAAAGTTCTATTAGGGAACCACAAGAATATACATAAAGCAACTATATTTACGGATAGTCAGGCGGCGCTCCTGGCCTTGCCTTCACCCATGACAAATTCCAGTATGGTTCAAAACTGCAAGAGAGCAATAAGCTCAATAAAAGACTAAATAAAAGCTAAGCTCCAACTAGACATGACCTGGGTTCCCGGCCACAGGCACATGTTCGGTAACGAAAAAGCAGACGAGTTGGCAAAGGAGAGACCAATAGACAATTTCAACAAGTTGCAAATAACAGGTGGAAAAACATTACAAAATGCGTCATAACTAAACAATAACAATAACATACGATGAGAAAAGAACCAACGACTTATTAAAAAGGTCGACAAAAAGTAGCTACAGAGTAACAGCTACCACAACAGGGCACTGGCCATTTGGGGAACATGCGTCCAAAATGGGTATGCCCTATAACGACATCTGCCGAGGCTGCGGAGTAGCAGGGAACAAGCAAACAATTTTCCACACTTGGAATACATCAAGCACCAAACCTTGAATGTGATTTCCACTAAAAGCATATCAGACATAAGTAGTTTCATCGAAACCTCAAAATGATTTGAGAGAAAAGGTGAAATGTAATAGTAGATACAGAAGGTTCTATGAATACTGTATCAAAATGGCACATCAAGTACTAATTGAGTCCGAAAAATAAAGCCTATCCCAGAAAAAATATTCACTTAGAGTACTTCTCCTCCGTCTTTATATTTGATATAAAAATTTCCACGTACCTTCTAAACTATAATTATTTAATATCCACACCTTTTTTGCGTGATAGCCTTTTGATAGGCACTCATTACAAAATAAATATCAATACACTGTACTTATTTTCTCACGCATATTGGAATTGCACTGAAGTTAATATTTTCTGTCATTCCGTGCAACTGTTGCTGGTATTAGACGTCACTACGTATACTTAACATGTAACATAATATATGTACATTTGACCGCAGTATTTGGTATATTTTTAATAATTGTAATTCATATTTGCCGAACAGAATTATAGGTTTGTTTTAACAAAAATAACTTATTCACTGCAAACCGCTTGCATGCAAATTGTAATTAGCTGATATGCGCTTAATTGAGTAAGCCGGGATGTTCAGTGCTTTTTTAAGCGAAAATCTACAAACTAAGAACTATGTAGTATATTCCAAGTTGTAAATTTTTGATATTTTGAGAAATTTATGAATGGTTCTCTAAGCAGCGGTCCTAGTTTGTGTAAAATTTCAACAATAATAAAATAAATTGGTTTTCTCTGCCAAAATCAAGAAACAAAATAATCTTTATGATTGCGAAAATATTATATTTCTTCGCTTTTGGACAAGATTTTCTCAGAGATTAAACTATGACTTTGAAATAACAGTTTTATTAACAAATTTATTTAAAAAGTATTTTTTTTTATTACTTGCCTTTACTGTAATCTTCAACTGAGTCATCTAATCAGCTAAAATCACCACAACTATTTTCTTAATTATCATTATTACCACTATTAGTGCCACAAAATCAAGTGAAGTCTCTTTAAAGTCGTGTATGTTATAAAAATTAATGTCTTCCCAGTCAAAGTTAGTACTGTACTCCCCGAAAGCACCAACTGCTACGTACCTAAAGGAACTACTGGGTGTATTTTTCACATGTGTTTAACGTGTCTCTACATGAACCTACGCCTGGTCGTCTGTTCGTTCTCTACCTTCCTTCCTTTCATACTCCCAATAGTTTGCAGTTGAAAGTTAGGCTTGAATGTAAATGAAATCAGTACTTTAAAACCGTATCTTCAAAAGCTTCTGAGGAGTTATAAAGCTTGTGATCCACCTAACGTTTGATCTCATGTGTGTTGTCGCTGTAAAAGGGTGGCTTCAACTTTTATAAAAATTTAATAATAAACCAATAATTATAAGCGCCGTTAGAATGCAATATTCAACTATCGCATATATTACCTATCCTCATCCACTGCAAACCGATAGGTAAAGCGATGGTTATCATAACATACTGAGTTTTTGAAAAATGCCATGAGTCAACCTCACGTAAATTAATGGTAATCGGTAACGTATACGCTATGTTGAGCCTCAAATAGACAGAAAATCATTTCAAAAATTGCCTTTGACCTTTAAGTTGCACCTACAACTATCAATTGACTTATTGATTTATTAAAAAAAAAATTAATTAATTATCTAATACAAAGAGTTTCCGTTAAAAAGTTAAACTTTTGCTTGTTTAGCTTTGTTTTTCATTGCAAGTATACACAAAATTACATTTATTATACAAATTCTACAAGTATTTAAAGCTTTATTGTATTTTCATTGCTAAAGTTATAGCTTTTATATATATTTATTTATACAAGTATTATTTACATTTATACACAGAGGTCAATCTGATTAATTTTCGTTCAATCAATATGAACGTATTTACGAACAACAATTTCATAAACAACGAAATATATAATTTTACTATATAATTTTTATAAAAATATATACATATGTTAAATGCTTCATATAAATATTTCATTACAAACAAGTGACTAAATTCCGAATACTTTCTGGCTACAACCTTTCGCCTCAGAACAGCAACTCGATGCGCTTGTCGTAAGCGCTCGCCCACACTTTCGCGTTCGGTAACTCTGGCCATTCTATTAACTTCAAATCATCGCTTATATTTAAGCAGTTTATTTTTGGTTCACTTCTTTTCAATGGTTCCCAAGTCAACGTTGCCATACCAGGTATATCCTCGTCATTCGGGTTGCCACTGCGCGCAAATTGTGTCCAAAAGCTTATCATACGGTTAATCGTTTTATATTCACGACTCTCCTTTGGCAACCGCTGCGAAAAAAGATTTGAAAAAATATACGACAGCTCATCACCGTGCGCCACGCCTTTCAAACCACGTCCCATACGCAATATACGATAAGGATGCGGCAACTCTTCGGAGTCAAAGTCGAAACGATATAGGTAAAGTGGCGCACCTGCCGCATGCGTTAAACGTGAGAGTACGAGGCGATAGAGCGGAAAGTGTAGGCACGAGTAAGCAATGATCTGAAATATTACAGATAAATGAGAAATATTGTGTACATGTTTACTATAGGGGCGTGTTTAAAGAATAAACTTACATTTTTATACTCCTCGATAGTGGGTGTCTTACCACTCACGTGCACTGTTCTCAATTTTTGCTCGAATTTCTCACTCTCTTCATTGTCGGCTACTTCATAAGGCACAAAGGGTTTCAGAGAATAACATTTTTGCCTTTGGGCAGCACTGGCTAATGCCTTGGCTCCTGAATTATATGTTATATGAATAAGAAGAATATTATATTAGAAACATAATTCATCAAGTGAGTATTTAAGAGAATTTAAAACGTGAGGTAGAGTCTGAAATCATCAACTTATCGCAACAAGTTACTCTTCTATGTACTACTGATTTTACCGAAGCTTTTAGAATGAAATCGTACTAGATAATTTCCACGATCACATTCTTTTACCATATATAGTATACCACCTTCTCCAAAAAATGAGACTCACCCTGCGTAAAGATCAGCCCTTCGTCTGACGTATGACCGACGAGCAGCGGTATCGCATTGCCCCACGCAGTCTTCATCATTTCCCTTATTGGCTTCGGTATCACACATTCTGGCGTCGCATATGGCTCCACGCAGTAGACAAACGGCGTCGATACATTGCGCGCACGATCTTCCGGCGTCAGCGTACGCCCTTCAAGCGCCATCAGATCTTTCGCTTTACACTTTCTTAAAAACTCAAGCACACTTTTATCGTTATCAACACCCTTATAGCCAGCCAACTTCGCAAGACTGAATGCACGATATTTTTGACCTTCTGTCTCCCAAAGAGGAAGGGCAGTGCCCGACATTAAAATCACACGGTGAAAGAGTCCTTGTGTCTGTTCGGTCAGCATCATGCAGTGAGCGGCGGAAGCGCCAGCGCTTTCACCAAAAACCGTTATGCAGTCGGGATTGCCACCGAAACTGGCGCAGTTATTTTTAACCCATTTTATAGCCAGAACTTGATCTTTAAGGGCAGCGTTGCCAGGTACATTACATTCGGGCGCGCTGAGCGATAAAAAACCTGAAGTAGAGAGAAAATGCAAAGGTAAAATTCACGTATTTTATTTTGCCAAATCTACACACTCACCCAACACACCCAGTCGATATTGTATTGTCACGAGCACAATATCTTTTTGCATAAAGTAATCAGGTCCATACCATTCACGTGTAGCCTCACCGGTGCAGAGTCCACCGCCGTGAATCCAAATCATGACTGGACGCGGCTTATCAGGCTGTGTCTGTTTGTATAGAATTTGTTCTTAAAAATGGTATTTTAACTCTTTAAAATATTCGGTAAAATCACATACATTATTCGTATACACATTGAGGTAGAGACAGTCTTCGGAGCCTTCCATTGCGCCGGTTATGACGTGTATCTGCACAGCCATTTCTTTGGTACTTTTGCAATCTCTCACCCCCTCCCATGGTATGGGTCGTTGTGGTGCTCTAAAGCGCAGCTCGCCCACAGGTGGTTGTGCATAGGGTATACCCTCGAAGCTGTAGTATGGCACGTCGTAAATAGTTAGCCGCTTAACGCCTTCTACTTTTCCATACTCAGTTTCCACGATCGACGTTTCACCGGTTGTGTGTCGATTTTGCTGGTATTTGTGCTCGTAGACTCTAAAGATTGGGTGGTAAAAAGCGAAATGTGTTTTTTAAGTGCTAATTAACTTTGATATGATTAGCATATATGTATATACATATATATATTAATATAAATATAATTATAGTTTTTAATCTATTACGTTTAATGAGTAAACCACAAATTAGCTTTTCTGTGCTTATACAAAAGCGTCCGATCAGTAAGTGATACACCAACCAAACTTTGTGTTTCAATTAAAAAAAAATAAAATAAAATAAAAATAAATTATTAATTTCAAACATAGTGTGAATGGAATTCAATTAAAAAAAAACTTAAAATGTAATTTTTTCATCGAATGTCAGTTTGTTACATTTCGAGCTTATTTTATAAAGCTCACTATCTTTCAATTCATTTATATATAGCTGAATGTGTTTTGCTTTTAATTTTTGATATTTTTGATTAATAACATCTCATTAACTTATTTCTATACACAAAATTTCTATAAAGCAAAAAGTACAGCTATAAATTGTAGTCAAATCTGTACCGGTTAGTCTGTATTTTAGCCAATACATCAGGATAAGCATAAACAATAAAGTAACGCTTTTGCCAGCCAGATGAGCAGTGCGGCAAAAATCCGCTGTTTATGTTTAATTGGTTTATGCTTTATATATCTCTAAGTGGTATGATTCCCTTCGCGTAGATACATTTTTTTTTATAAACACGACATATTTTTGTAATCTTGTTGAAAGTTTCAGATTCAAGTGTGACTGTTGATAACTACTTTAAGGGTGTTTAGTTAATAGCTTGTCTGCTGAAATAACATTTTTTAAATATACTATATATTAATACATGACTTACTTAATAATAGCGAATCTTGGTTTACTACATGCTTAGAGAAATCCACTGGTTATTTAAGCCCACATACGGTAATGAGGATTTTTGAAAGGTCGAGATAAACTCTTCATTGATAGGAAGTCTAATATAATAATGAATAATATTATATGCCTTTACTATGTATCTAAAGAAGTTAGACTAGCTTTCGAAAAATGATTTTTCTTTAAAATGTTAAAAACAGCCGCCAGAATCATCTTTTGACTTACATCTCATTGCTCGCATATTAACATTAAAACTGTAGAATATTTTTCTTAGTAGAATACTTTTTTTGTTACGCAGATAATTTTATGCCATTTATGATACTAGCAAAATGTCTGATAAATGGCCATCACGGCACCCCTTTAGGTTAATTTTCACTGACCCAGTGCAGCATTCGGCAATAGTGTGCTGAATGTTGTCTTCGGGCTTCTCGAGCATTGCTGGTTGATTGACGTATACCTTTGAATTAACTTAACCTCAATGAAGATAATCAAAAGGCATTACATCGCTTGATCTTGGCGGTCATTTGACTGACGCAATTGGTCCATGTTTCGGCGTGACGTCTTGTTGGAAATAGAGAACATTTGCATCGATTTCATCAAATTGTGGGCAAAAGGCCAAGCAAGATCGTATTATAACGCTGCTCTTGATGGAGGCGGCATATTCTGCCACATTTCGAAAGAAAGAAGATCCGATGATGCCATATCCCTCTCGTTAACCACACGAGGATTTGACTCACCCCAATAGTTACAATTCTGTTTGTTGGCGCAGTTATTATGCCAGAAATGCGCTTCATCAAAATCCCGTATCTTAGAAGAGTGTATTATCATGGTACTCCGTGAGGTATTTATCACAGCCTTTGAGAGAAAAATTGTAGCCAACCACTCATATCACAGGTAATGGAAGTATAGTTGCTACGCTGGTTAAGGCAAGCTATCGACTTGATAAAATTTCTTTAATGCAATGACAGCTAGTCAGCATATGATAAAAGAGTCTCCTTTGCCTTTGAAATACGAAGGGCAGAACCTTAAGTATTCTTTTGATGTTTCTAAAAAAGTGCATACTTGGGTAGCAACGATTTGGGCTGCATTATGGACGCCCCCAGTGACACAGTATTCGGAAGGGTAGCTATGATCGGCAATAAATTTTTGCAATTATTTTTCTCCACAATTTTTTCCGATCAACATCAATGTATTTGCTGGATGACGATAAGCCAGTATTTTCAAATTATCATATATGTACAAGTATTGGAGATAATACCATTTAACACGAACAAAAAAAATATAGGTAGAAATATCTAGAAAGCTCAAAGACTTAACAAATTTTGTTCCCCCATAAAGCTTAGCCACCAAATCAAGTAAATGCATTTCTCTAAAACCCCTAAATTGTCGCTAGGTATCTAAGCCATTGTGTAGCGTTGATTTTTAAACAAACCGTTAACTTTCTTAGCGAGCTGAATAAAGGTAGAGCAATGAATGAAATTAACTGTGAACAGGTAGCTCTCTCAAAATAAACATTGATGTGCCTTGGTATGTATAATTTCGTATTTATGCATGCATTTGATGCTTTGCTACCTGAATTTGTTACTTCAATATTTATGGGCAAACGAAAGTGAAATTTCATTGATGTGCCATACAAGCGGGTATTAGAAGGCTGGCAATTTCATGGAAAAAACTTTAGAAATACCTACATACAATATCGCACGTAAATACTAGATAAAATATTTGCTTTTAAGACACTACTCATATTACTCATCGTGAAATACCACAAAATGATTGATGTCATTGCATGATACATAATTATACATATGAGCAATTTTCAGAATTTTTAATAAAGACTAAAATAGTAGAAATCGAATAATTTTCACAATATGCGCAAATTGTAAATAAACTTTTGTTTACTATGCTTTGCTAATATACGAGTACATACATATGTATGTAGGTATATGTGTGCGCTTTAACAAAACCAGTCATTTATTAGTCATCTCAGCTGATTCGGCCAACTAGCTGGTCGTTTCTTAGGAATGCACAACATAAATACAAATACAACAAAAACTTGTGTAAGTGTGTATACATCTGTATGTGCATTCATAAATGTAAGACTGGTTTTCGGTAAACAAAATGTCAAGCCACGCGGTCGAGTTGCGAAATTGCTAAATGTCAAACAATTAGTATCTATTATTCAATGAGATGTGAACATTTGTGGTAAAAGAGCATAACTCACTTTAAGTTTTCCTACACTTAGCACTTTGAAATATAAATAATATTGATATTTTATTGAAAAATAATGATTTTTTAATATTTTTAGGGAATTAAGCACGATTTATTGCAAAAGTATGTTACTTCTTTCACAAATTAGCAAAAATAAAAATAAATAATTAAAAAAGATTGTTAATGAAATTCGTTATGGTCACTGAATTTTTTTTTTATAAAGTTTGGCACCCCACAAAACTCGTTTTTTTTTATTAAAAAAATTGAATACTCTTAAATTTTTTAATTTCAACAGACACTGTACTCACTTCAATCGCCATCGACATTTCTCTATAAATCCAACGTTTGAAAACATATTAACAGAGCACAAGTTGCTTCGCCTCCAGGCTTTCAAATTTATAATCCAGAAAATGCGTTGTAGACTAGTTACAAACCGCCACAAAACATATACATATGTATGTGTACGTAAGTGGCCCACTCAGCGCTCTACAAAAATATGAATATATATTTGATTGGGCAGATCACTACTAAAACATCACACACAAAATTATCGTAAACCAATTATTTGATTTTTCGATTTATATCTGCTCCAGCAGCGAAACACCGACAACCGGATGGAACAACGCGAACAACCGTACTGAAAAAAGTTTAGAGCGTAAAAGTCAAAAGCGTAAACAATTGCAGCTTCAACGGAGCACCAGCGGCCGCGCGCGTTATATCTATGTAAATATGTATGCGTTTAGATAAAGAAATGGAGAAATAGCGCACAGGAAAATGCAGACAAAAATATAAAAATATATTACTCATATCAGTATAGTGGATGATACCAAGTACCTAAAGAAAAGGAAAACAATAACAAAGCGCATTTTAAGTTAAAAAAGTCGAATAATCAACGACACTTGGCGCGCACTTGAAGCAAACGACGATCATTGAGCGAAGTTGGTGAGTGGTGAGCGGGAGCGCCGTTAAAAAACGCTAGCCGATATTGCGCTCTCAGTTGTCACTTTCGACCGCAGTGTTGTTGTAGTTGCTTTGTTTTCGAATTTTCATTCAACATGCACGTCCGGCATAAACAAGCTACTTAGTTGCTGGTGATACACGCCTGCCAGCAATATCAATTGATACGGATACGAAGGAAAAAGCAGCAAAACAAACAGATGTTTTGACGTCTTGCACAAATACAATGAGTGTGTCAATATATATCAAACAAATACTTGCACATCTCCCAGTAAACGGTGAGCTGGAACTTTTGCGAGAATGTGATAAAAGTAGGTTGTATTCTTTAGAGTTTTTCGTAAATATTTAAAGTAATTGCGCTTTCTGCAGAAACTTAGAACATAATGCCTTTTTGGTAGTTTACAAGAGTCTGACTAACGAAAGCCACCTCTTTTAGATTCTTTCCAGAAAATTTTGAGTCAGACACGCCGAGGATTATTCTTCATACACCACTGAGTAGTGGCTGGATACTTACGGCAAACAATTTTGAACCATATCTAATGTGTATAATGTGTAAGAGTCTCTAAAACTTGGTTTTGACTTATGTCAGGACTTACTTCAGTTATGAAACTTGTTTACTTGGTTACAAAGGCGCTAAAAGCATATATACTATTTATAGTAAGTACCTGTATTAATATTTATCTTAAGGTGGTAATGATCAAAGGCACATTCTTTTGTGAACTTAGCTGAGTTGTTAATAATTTAAATCTACAGAAGCAAGCTCCTGCTCATCTGTAGAAAAGCCGGAATTAATATCTCTATAATCATATCAATTATTATCAATATATATACAGTATACTTGTTGAATTTTGCAAAGTCAATGAGATGACTTTTTTCGGTTTCGGAGTTCAAGCAGGATATCCGAAAAGGAGAATATCTAACTTGCAGATTTTTTCTGAAGTAAAACACCACCCTAATATTTAAGTTTAATTTCTCGAGATAGTCATACAGTTGCGGTCAAGCAAATATCACCACTTTATTATAATGGACAATTTTTAGAACATATTTTGTAATTTTTCTGATTTTAATAAAAAAAGTTGATTTCGAAAGTTAAAACATAACTTAAAATCATGAAATTTCTAAGCTGTTCCATAAAAAATATTCGAAAGATTATGCAAAGCAAAGCCATTTACGCAGGCAACGGAGCTAAACAAAGAAATGAACTTGGATGTTAATGTTGATACAGTTTGTCTTCGCCCACGAGCGCCTCTAAACATGTAACACAGCCTATGCTGTTTCTAAAATCTAGAAATGCTAGCTGAGGGCGCAGGTGGCGAAACAATCTTTGGAATAATGTTCGCTGGCCGACGATCTCGATCGTAAGTTAGAAGACTTACTAATGCAGAGTATGGGTCAAGATATATCAAAAAAAAAAAAAAAAAAAAAAAAAAAAAAAAAAAAAAAAAAAAAAAAAAAAAAAAAAAAAAAAAAAAAAAAAAAAAAAAAAAAAACCATTTATCATGTCGGTCAAACATTTATTACCAGTGAGGTGCTATTATTTCGACCGCAGCTGTTCGTTACGACGTACGTAATTAATGTAGGCATTGGCATTGGCATTGACTGAAATGAAATATGTCGATAAAAAGACAACATTTGATATTCAATATAAGGAATAATGGAAGCAACACAGCAATTAACCGTTTTTTACTTAATTACATACATATACTATATGTAAGTATAGACAAGTGCATTCTTCGTGTCGGACGATGACATAAATTGTATTAATTTTATTTCAAATTTCCATCGTACAATTTCCGTTAGCAAAACTTTTGTCTGTAAATGAAACTTTCTCTCAATGCGAGTTTTTAATTATATGATATAAAAATTGGTGAATCAGCCTCTTATAAATTCCCTCTTCTAGTATATTTTTAAAGCGCTCGTGTGCGTACAAGCGTATGGATATAATCTTTCATTATATGAGGAAGCAGATGACATCCTCTTAGTCATGCGAAAAATATTCTAATACCGAGTGAGTCTCACATATTTAATATGGTAAGATATGAGATGTAGATGAAAAACATGTCAACAATTAGTTTAAATTAGTTGCCGCTATTTGTTTTGCAATGCAAAAATCCAACCCTGAACTAATCAACTTTAAAGGTTATATCATTTATAGAATTATAAAATAAATTCCAAGAAAGCTCTCTAAATTAAAGTTTAAATTTGAGTTACAACATATAAACTTTGGATAATTCTGGACACTTCAGAACATTACGTAGTGATTCAAGAGTAACTTGGAAAACTTCTGGGAAATAAACTTCACATGTTAATAAAAAAAATTTATTTTTAAGTATACGAGAAATTTATCTTACTTTTCTTAGGTTACTTGCTGACCCCGCGGACGTTTTTCTGCGTGAAATGATGTGTTTTTGAAATGAAAAGAAAGTTGAATTTATATTGTGTTGAAAATCATTTATTTGTGATTTTTCTACATTTTTTTTAATGTAGCGCATATTGATAAACAAAATTTTTTTGGGGTTTTCTGGCCGGTCGCTTCGTATAATTCCGGATATATCGCACCAACATCTCCATCCAAAGAAGAATGTGTGCGTGCGGTAAACCTCTTTTTTGCTTCTCAACAGAATACTTCCAAATTCAAACAGCATCATATATACCAAACATTGCTTCAAGATAAAGTCCATCAAACCTCGCAGCTGTTGTTTGAAAAGTGGTGCTTGCCTTGGGCCTGCCATACCTTGATGTCAAAAAGAACGCCGACCGATATTAGCGCGACCTCTTCGTGGCTTCGTAACAAATTTCAATCTGTAATTGACACTTTGTGTGAAACACACATAATGTTTTCACTGAATAATTTTCAATAATTTTTCTTTTGAAGAGTCAGAATCAAAAAGCAAGCGACCGAAATTGAACGCTTCAAATAAGTTACAAATCAAAATAATGAAAAACAAAACAAACAAAAATTAAAAAAAAAAAATGTATGTACATATGTACATACATATATAGAAAAAAGTTAATTTTTGGAATTGTCAAACACCCATTGATTCGTTTGTATCGGAAAAAGAAAAGCTCTGCATTTTGGAGGTTTTCCAGCAGTTATTCGAATTTTTCTCAAGCTAACATTTCAAAAAAAAAAAAAAAAAAAAAAAAAAAAAAAAAAAAAAAAAAAAAAAAAAAAAAAAAAAAAAAAAAAATAAATAACAAATAAAAAGGATTGGTCCAAATAAGTCCAGGCATTGTTGAGTTGCGCTTAGCAACACATATTGCGATTAATTTTTATATAATTTATATAAGATAAGTCGAACGGTTTGTTATCTTTTTGGTATGAAGGAGAAAACGCGGTGACAGATTAAGTGTCACAGCGAAAAGAGGAGATTTTTTATTGAACTATTTCCTTGAAAAGTCAATTACTTAAGTTTAATATACTACAGTTAAGGCTGTGAATAAAAATTAATTATCAAAAAGGATCAATTCGCATGGCCTAAGCTTTTCTACTACTTTCCCGACAACAGAACATAAAGTTTGCAGATAAAACCTAACAGACTACCATATCCAGAGAACTATTCATATCATTCGGTAAGTGAGAAGGTATAAACACAATGGGAGGAACATGTTACCATGCTTTGCTTTATTTCTGTTTTTAATTTTAGCAAAATCTTTTGCTATGTACATTTTGCATTACAGTAAAAAATCACTTATTAACTACTGATATTTGTCAGTATTCATAGCCGTTTATTCTTTGTCTATGTAAGTACTGTAGTACCTTTTCCAGACTCTGCCTCAGTATCGGAGGTAGACCCATAAAGCAATGGCATGTCATACAAAGAATCCCAAGCTTTCATTTTCGGCGCTTCGGGTATTTGCATAACCTGCAGCGTCTGACTAATATTCAGCCCAAAGTCAGGATTTGTTTTTTCAATTGGTAGCCATACATTTGGCGCAATCTCGGGGCAATTCGGATTTCCCAATTTAGCGAAGCTGGTCCATATGCCGATCATGCGTTGTATGGTAGCATATTCAGGCGTATTCTCCTCCAGTTTTTTGGATTCCTTCAAATAGAATAGATACGAGAGATCATCGCCATGTGCAGCGCCCTTCACGCAATCATCGCCACAGAAACGTAAGCGATGATGATTGAATGTAGGCGAATCGAAGTCGAATCGGTAGAGGTAAGTATTGGCGGTAGCATACTTCGTGCGCGCAAGCGCAATGCGATGCACACCGTGCCAGAACATTTTATGCGAACAAAGCTATGTATGAAAGCGAAATGTGAATGCTTAATTTATATTATTGGACTTATCGGCATTACTCACATGTAAAAAATCAAAGCAGGGATCTGGTTTATCCTGTTTGGAAATTACTTCGTCTTTCTCCTTACCAAAGTAGAGATTTAGTATGCGTGTGCTCAATTCCTGAATTCGACTGCTCTCGTAAATATCTTTTAATTCTGCTAATACCAATAATTCCGGCGCTTTTTTCACGAGATCTACAATTTTTGGGAATTTTTTCACATGCTGATACATTATTAAACCCTCAAATGATGTGCCGCCCATGAGGAATGGTATGCCATTTCCCCAAGCCGACTTCAGCAGATTAATTGGTTCGGTCGGCAATATGCAATGTTCTGACTCATAGGGTTCAACTGTCGGTGTAAATGTTAGCCAGTGGAACGACCGATTTTCCTCCTCACTAAGCAGTGAATGATCGACCAATTTGCCTGCATCCAAATGCTGCAAAAACTCCAATACTGGCTTGTCTTCGGCCTCGCCTTTATAACCATGATACGCAGCGAGTCGATAGCCCATATTTTGTGGCATGGTAGCCCAGTAGCTCAGTGCTGAACCGGACATTATGACCGCTTGTTGAAATAGGCCACGCGCCTGATCACTCAAGGACAAAATGTGTGCACATGTGGCGCCGGCGCTCTCCCCAAAAACTGTGATATTATTACAATTGCCATTGAAATAGTAAATATTTTTCTTGATCCACTTGAGCGCGAGCAGTTGATCTTTGATGGCAGCGTTGCCGGGAACATCAAGACTGCGGTCATTCAAGCTAAGGAAACCTAGAAGTAAAGGAAAAATATTTGAAAACAATTTCCGAATGATCAAAAGAGAAAAGACTTCTCTTCAATATTGTAGAGGGTTTGATCACACAGATCTTCAAGTATATACACATACGGTGAATAATAATATTCGCAAAAGTCACGTACTTATTTATGACAGTGTTGTTGTAACTGACAGTGATATATTATTTATAACAGAATCCCAGCAAAAAAGCAGGGCAATCTGTTGCTCTTTGATCATTCCGAAACCTTTTAGTTGTGACTTGGTTGCAAAGTCCAGGAAACTAAGGCGAAACTAAACTTTTAGCCCTTAATGCATCTAAAGTTTTTGTTGAGAGCTTGTGAACCTTACAATAACTGATTTGTCAAGATAACAGTAAATGTGTGTGTGTTTGATAAATATAACTTACCCAGCGAACAGAGACGATAATTTAATGATACAAATACAACATCTTCACGCATCAGATAATCGGGTCCGTGATGCTCGCGCGCTGCACGACCGGTCTGAAAGCCGCCACCATATAACCACACCATGACCGGCATCTGCTTGGCAGCATCTATCTGCAGTTTTAAAAGAATACATTGTCGATTTCGTTCCAAAGTGCAACAATACAGTAAGTGCAATACTCACATGCTTGGTGAAGACATTCAGATAAAGACAATCTTCGCTGCCTTCTATCTCGCCGGTTTTCTGGTTCTTTTGTACCGGTTTGGGCGGACTCTGCGTGGCGTCTAATACATCGGACCAATTTCCAAATGGTTGCGGCGCACGAAAGCGTAATTCGCCAACTGGCGGCTTGGCATACGGTATGCCCTCAAAGCTATAGTAGGTTTCACCGTAGACTGCCTGGCGCTTGGCGCCGCGTATGCGTCCTTGCGGTAACTGCAGTTCCACTGTTTCTAAAATGCCAGCGCTGTGCGGTGCAAAAGTGAAACAAAAATTTATATATTTTTGTAATTTGTCAATCTAATTTTGTGCCTATCTTTGTTGAAACTTACTCAGTTGCCATTTTCCGAATGTATGTTCGAAGAATTATAACCGGAATTCTTTTGGTGCCCCGCTGAAATCGAGATAACATATTTCTGATTAGTAATATTCAATTTTTTTTGAACTGATTCGGTTTTATTTGTGTAAATAATTTCAAATTTTTTCTGAATTTTAAAAAATATAACAAATCTGAGTGGCATTTACTTGTCAAGTGTACGTCGAGCGAGGATATAGTGTCGTTATAGCAACTGCAGTGTACCTTAAATACTAAACGCTCATGCGTTCGCATCGCACAAGAATATCTAACAATAGTTCTTGTTTTTGCATTATCTACCAGCTGATAGAGAGCATTTCGTATATATATTTACATGCACTGTTGTTCGTATGATATATGTGTATGATATTAGCACAGGCTATGCTAATCTGTCTTGCACTGTTATCATTTTTACAGAGTGTTACACACAACTGCTTCTGCAGTGAATTGATTTACTTATGCTGAGAACAATTGTGATTATAGTAGTCAAATTATATTTACCTTTGCACTTTTTCATTGGAAATTTTTACAGTTATCAGAACGCCTTGATTTTTCTTCACAATATGTAAGTATAACAAATCTCATAAACTAGATCTTAGTGGATTAGAGCAATAACACGTTTGACACACTTTTTAAACTTAATAATTAGCAAATCACTTGTGGCATTCGCTTACCTCAGCTAAGCATCTGAAAGAAAATGTGTTCAATATATAATGTGTTATGTATTTTGATTGTTGACATTTTAGGAAAAGGGAACCGCGTATGATAACCCAAAAACTATTAAGTGACTGCAAATGACTAAATTCGAATGGTATTGAAAACTCACTAGTTCCAAAGTTTACAACAAGCAATTGCTATATACATATAATACATGCATGCATATACATACATATATAATACTTAAAAGCTTGCGTAAGCTCTCGTTGAGTGTTCACTAGTAGAATGTGCTCACAAAAGCTCCCCATTCAGTTTGTGAAAATCACAAGTAAATCAATAACTAACTTAAAATAAGGCAAACAGCATATTCTTGTTTTCTTTAATGCCATATATCATCTCTATATGTAACAGTGGTGGCAAGTGAAAAAGTATAGCCAAAAAATATTATATATTAAAATACTAAAAGGACGCTGCTGATATTTATGACGGCTGTTACTTGATTTTTACCATTTTATAATGAATGAACTTAATCGAACAAACTTCTTACCTAAATAGTGGTTCATCTCACGCCAGTTACCGTTTATACTCTGATCCGGATTTCTAGTTCTAGATAACCTATATACATATTTTTTCATCGATTTGCTGGTTTGTGGTGGTTCTTATTTCGTGGGCCACCCTTTTTGTCTTTGTCAAGGCATCGCCTTTTTTAGAAATTAATTTTTCATACTTTTTTAAGCAATTTTTCAACCTATTTTCGTTCATTTGATTCTAAATTATCCAACTGAATGTTTTGCATTTCACTTACTTCCAATGCATATACTTGCTCTTGGATATCTTTTGAATAAACATAATTTTAACACTATTTTTAAGTTCAACTTCTTCGTTTTCGAACTGATTTTCTTGCAATTATTGAATATATGTAACATCGTTTCCTAGTAGATTATCGTACGGTTTTTCAAACTCTATTTTTAACCATCTCATTCTAGGATTGTGAGGGTATTTATATTCTAGTGGGCATGGTGACAAAAACTGCATATATGCATATACATATTCGAACAATATTCGAACAGCAGAGCAGAGTTGTAGATACCTGACAGGTTAAACAAATTGAATTAAATTTAAATACTTTTTTATTTAGATGTTTGAACATTATAAATTGAATTGAAATAAGTTTCTTTTATGTTAAAGTTTTAAATTAATAAATATAACTAATAACAAGTAAGGAAGGGCTAAGTTCGGGTTTCACCGAACATTTTATACTCTCGCATGATAAAGTGATAATCGAGATTTAAGGCGTGGTTGTGAACCCATTTCATCCATATTTGGTAAATGTCATCAGAGTGTTAAGAAAATATTATATAACGAATTTCATTGAAGTCGGTTGAGTACTTCCTGAGATATAGTTTTTGGTCCTTAAGTGGGCGACGCCACGCCCATTTTCAATTTTTAAAAAGAGGCTGGATGCAGCTTCGTTCTGACATTTCTTCCGTAAAATTTAGTGTTTCTGACGTTTTTCGTTTTTCGGTTAACGCACTTTTAGTGATTTTCAACATAACCTTTGTATGGGAGGTGGGCGTGGTTATTACCCGATTTCTTCCATTTTTGAACTGTATATGGAAATGCCTAAAAGAAACGACTCTATACAGTTTGGTTGCCATAGCTATAGTAGTTTTCGAGATACATAGACAAAAGTTAGTAGGGGGTGGGGCCACACCCACTTTTCCAAAAAAATTACGTCCAAATATGCCCCTCCCTAATGCGATCCTTTGTGCCAAATTTCATTTTAATATCTTTATTTATGGCTTAGTTAGAGCCAAGATATACGTGTACCAAGTTTCATCATGATATTTCCATTTTTTACTCAAGTTACAGCTTGCTCGGACGGACGGACAGACGGACGGACGGACAGACAGACATCCGCATTTCAACTCTACTCGTCACCCTGATAACTTTGGTATACATAACCCTATATGTGACTCTTTTAGTTTTAGGACTTACAAACAACCGTTATGTGAACAAAACTATAATACTCTCTTTAGCAACTTGGTTGCGAGAGTGTAATAAGTTACTATAGCTAAAATTATATACCAAACCTTAAAATAGGGTGAAAAACTAATTTATTGCACTTTTTGCATTCAATTAGGATTAATTTAGAGTAATAATGAGAACATAATTAGTAATAGTATAAATTCATTTTCGAACTGAATATTCAATATAGTTGCTCCCTGTAAGTGAATAACTCATCTAGTGCGTTTAGTTTAACGGTCTCCGGTAGCTCCATCATTTTCAAATCATAGCTAATATTCAATGCCATATTCGGCTCAGAGCCTTTTAGTGGTGTCCAGCAAACTGGTTTGATTTCATCGCAATTAGGATCAGAGTTAGCGGCAAAAGTAGTTAGCATAGCAATTAGTCTTCGAATAGTCTTATATTCTGACGAATCCAAGCCAACTTTCCACGAGTCATTGGAGAAAAATGTGTACGACAAATCATCAGCATGAGACACACCACGCACCGGATCATGGCCACAATATTTAGCGCGATATAGATTAAAATCGGGCGAGTCAAAATCGAACCGATAAACATAGGTGGGTTGGCTAGCATATGCCGAACGTGCCAAAACAGTGCGATGGATATCGTGTAAAAATATTTTGTAGCCATAAATCTGAAAAGTTGTTGACAAACAAGAGAGTATTTTAAATGCGGTAAATTTGGTGGTAAAGGTAGTTTTGTTGAACTTACATCCAGAAATTTGAATACTGAACGATCATTTGGCGTTTTGGCGCCAAAAAACAATTTTAATAATTTTTCACCCATTGCTTGCAGCTCTTCCGGTGTGTGCGCAACCTTAGCATCCTCCGGCAAAATACGCTCTGGATCACTAATAAGTGTACGCATTATTTGCGGAAACATTTTGAGGCGCTGATACATATAGAGTCCCTCGAAGGAATTTGCACCAATAATCATCGGTATACGATTGCTCCATGTTTTATTCAGCAGTTCAAATGGCCGTTGCGACAATATACAATTCTCACTAACATACGGTTCAATAATTGGTCCAAAAGCGAACATGTATAATTTTCGGCGCTCCTCTTCGTTGAGCAAAGAATGCTTCACCAMTTTGTCCGGTTCTAATTGCTGCAGAAAGCTCAAAACTTCTGCATCATTATTGTCACCATTAAAGCCGTGAAATTTCGCCAATCTGTAAGCCATATCAGTTTGTGGCATATTTACCCAGTAACAGAGCGCGCTTCCCGACATAAGTATGACGCGTTGAAAGAGATCCTCTGACTGTGGACTAAGCGTAATCGCATGGGCGCTAGCAGCGCCGGCACTTTCACCAAAAAGCGTTATATTGTCGGGATCGCCATTGAAGTGACAAATGTACTTTTTCACCCATTTAAGTGCAAGTAGTTGATCTTTCAGCGCAGCATTTCCCGGCACTTGTAGCGCTGGATCGGCGAGACTAAGGAAACCTTTGCCAAAACGTTAAATTTCTTCTTCTTCTTTATTTGAAGGCAAGTTTGCGCCTACTCACCCAAAGAACAGAGTCGATAATTGAGCGTAACCAATATCACCCGCTCACTCATGAAATAGTCGGGACTGTAAACATTCCTTGTGGCTTCCCCTGTATAGAAAGCGCCGCCATAAATAAATACCAACACCGGCAAAGGTTGCTCCGATTGCAGCTACATATTGCAGTATGCATTAGAAAATAAATAATGCACATTTTTATTGCACCATTTCAACTTTGAATAGGCGCTAATTGGCGAACCCACCTCTTTTGTATAAACATTTAAATATAAGCAATCCTCCGAACCCTCCACACCGCCTGTGCGCGAGTTCTTTTGCAAAGGCTTGCTAGTGCATTGCGTACAATCCTTGACACCGCTCCAAGGCTCGATCGGCTGCGGCGCCTTGAAGCGTAGCTCTCCTAAGGGCGGCTTCGCATAGGGTATACCCTCAAAACTATAGTAATTGTGCGCGTAAACGGTCTGGCAGTGCTTTCCTTGGATCGCACCCAGTGGCAGTGCGATTTGTGGAATTTCGCTAAAAAAAAAATTTTGTGCAATTAATTTTCCTCTTCGTTTAATGAAAATAAATAAGCCTTATGCTTTCACATATTCTTCGTCATCTGTCACACGCGTTTGTAAACTTACGTTGAACTCATCAGCTTTTGCTTTTAGTCTGGGGCTATGTAAACAATTATATTTATTAGTACGTATTCAGGTACTTGGCGGATCACTGCCCTCCCAACATGTACAACCGACTGACTTCGCCGCTTGCTCAAAAACAACTGGAAATTTATTTCAATATTAAGTCAGTTGTGCGATTAGATTGCGTAGGTTGTTGCATAATTTTCGCAGTCACTGGAAATGGCGAAGATCGTCGATTTCGGTCGAAGAGAAATTTATGCAATGCTTGGCTCTATTTTGGTGAAGCCCCACAGTCTACGACCTCAAACCTTCTTTACATAAGGTGGATGCGTTAAAAATGGGTACCCAAAAGGATTTGATTTTAGTCAAATTATTCATAAGTACAAGCTCGAGCAATCTATATGAAGGTTTTGCAACTAATTGCATTATGATTTATATAAAGCTGTCAGCTTCAGCAACATTGTGCAGTATATACGTAAATACGTATGTATGTATATAGTAATCTACTGACGCTATTCATAAGCCCTTGTCCGACTTAACTTAATCAAAAACGGAAGTAATTTCAATGCAAAATGTAGAGGTTATTTCTCCGCCACAAAGCAGTATATTTTTATAACGAATAAACCTAGTCAGCTTGTACGGTTAAATTACAGTTGACTGGGTGTATTGAGGTAGCGAAGCTGTCCTGTTGCAGTTCTTGATCCAATAAAACAAAAATGTCTTCTAAAAATAGACTGAGGCGTTGCCGTCAATTTCAGTTTAAAAATAGTATTATACAAGGATTATCAATACCTTAGGAATTTTGTATATGTATAATGGCTTTCTTATTGGCCGTTGTGCGCGCCTTTTTCGAAAGACATACGAGCATGCATTATGGAGCATTCCATATACCACTTTGAGTACTCACAATAGAACATTTTTGAAAACCTTTGTACTAAGTGTTGAGAGTTTACAGTTAATTCAAGCAAATCAAGTCACAGAAAGGCCATACACGTATTAATGAGTAATGCAAAGGTCATTACTTTTAATATTCAGGAAAAAATAATTAGCTACTAATTGGCTTTGTAAATCACTAAACGAGGTGTTGAAGTGCACATTGCTATAAAAAAAATTACTTATTAATGCATAGAAGTAGGAAATGTTTAGTCGTATACATATCAAGAGAAACACCCGGTGTATATGTAATATGAGAAATATATTTAAAGTCGGTTAAAAATGAAAGTATATTGTATATTACCTCTCCCAACCGGCTAATATCTGTCTCGGCTATATCTACTGGGTCGCTAAAATATGACTCGTCTTACTACATACAACTTTGACAATTTGCCATCGACAAGCATTTTAGTTTTAACACATGAATGCTTATTTCCAATTCTCCAGTAAGAATTCTACGTTATATATATACCTCTACCATAAATCGCCAAAGAACTCAAACTCGATTCGGTATCTGGTGGATCAGTTTAGAGAAGTTTCTCAGTTAGAGATATAATATGTGCACATGAAATTTAACGACTTGTGGGATTGCTACGACATCTATTGACAAAATACGAAAATACTTTTTCGACTACCCACTATTTCCTTTTGACTACGAGTTTTGCATTAGCTAAGCGTAAAATATTCAAACTATTAGCTCATTGCAACTGCAAATGTAGTCTAAAATAATGTAACAACTGCATTACAGTAATGATTACAGCAATCGCAAATAAAGCACATGGAATTAAAAAAATTTCTCTTTTAAAAAATATATTTGGCCATTTTCGTGGATATACAAATAATGACCCGAAGGTGAGTAGATGTTTGCGTGCACAATAACGTGTGCATAGTAAATGAATTTTAAGTTGAATTTAAAAAGGAATTTGCATTTCAATTGGAAATTGTTTAAATACTTTTCGATTAAGAATTTGACATACAATTATTTTGTGCTGGTTCACGTTTTAATTTCCCTAATGAAGTCGTTATCTTATCGGTCAGTGCTTCACAATACAGTAGATGCCTTCCACAACTGCAGCGCTTTCATATCACATATGATATATATATTTACATGATACACATACCTAAATTCTACCAATGGTGAAAGCGACCTTCAGTGGAATTTTACAAATCGCTTTACTAAATTACTTAATTGTTAATAGCGTGTGGTAAAAAAATGCGAGCGTTATGGCCATGACATAGTCAAAATAACACTTAACAGTCTATTGCACGAAGAATTCGGGTATACTCGTATTTAGAGATATTTGCCGCTCTTAGGCCATATGATGCATATGCGGCCGGGTTTAGTTAAAGAAAAGTTGCCTCGGGTAATGCCTTACATACATTTTGTTCGGATACAACGCGCCGAAATACCTTGAGAATGGTCGCTGAAATAGGAAATACTCTCAGACGGCATCTCTAAGCAAAATTTGAGGAACAGGAAATATATTTCAGCTCCATGAAACATAATTGTATTAGTGAAAATTCCTCGATGGAGCCAGTATTTGCGACAATGTCACAATTTCGTAGATTTTCAAAGTTGAAAAGAGGTAACAGAAGTGATCAAAAAACTCCAGATTTTCTCACTTTCTGACTTTCTTTAGTGGCGTCATGTGATGCGCAAAATACAGACTAGATAAAAATACTCGAAGAGCTAATTCAGCTGATTAATGTTGTGTTCAACAGTAGTTCAAGAAACTATATAATTAACTGTCTTCATTGTCTATCCTTAAAAGTGCCTGTGCTTCTTTGACAGTAAGTGTTAAGCAATTGTATGTTTATGCAAGTAATTTATTATACGCTACCTTTAATTAACATGTTTTAAATAATATTTCACTGAGAAATAAAATAAGTTCTAGAATTCTAAGACATTTTCGGGCAGATGAAATGAAAAAATTTACAACTGGCTCTCCTGAGCTGTCAACCTGTCCTCCAGTATGTGCATGTATGTACTGTATTTTCGCTAGATTGTTGGTAATGGATCGCCCCAATTATAATCTTCTACCTTGTGGGCGCCACACAATTGCTCTGGACTCTTATATAATTTCGCCCACGCTTCCAATTTGTCTATTTCTGGAATTGTCTTGAATTCCAGGTGTTGTCCAATATTAACTCCCCGTAGATTGTAATACTTCGTTACGGCGTCCCAAATAATCGGATCCGTTGTTTGCGAATCGGGATCACCAGTAGTGGCATATGTCGTCCACATACTTATCATACGCTTTATGGTTTTATATTCGGCCGAGTTTGGATACAACTTTCGTGAGTCGCGTGCATGGAATAAATAGCACAGGTCATCGCCGTGGGATACACCGCGTACCTTTTCATCTGAGTATCGCCTGCGATTAGGATTGAAATCTGGTGAGTCGAAGCCGAAACGATACAGAAAAGTGGGGGCCAGCGCAAAGCTTAAGCGTGCTAAAATAGTGCGATGGAAGTCGTGCCAAAAGATTTTATAGCTATATATCTACAAATTATAAATTAATAATATGTATAGACGTGAGGTATAAAAACAGCCTGCACTTACATCTAAATAATGAAGGAGCGAGTGATCATTCGGCTCTTTCTCGCCGAAATGCAATTTCAGCAGTTGTTCGCCCATTCGCTTATTTTCTTTTGTAGTATTTGAGTTGTAAACGTCTTCTGGTAGTATTAATGCCGGTTCGTTGTATAAAAGTTTCATAATATCAGGATTCCTCTTGAGTGTACTGTACATAAACAGACCTTCAAATGAGGTGCCACCGATCATCATTGAGATTTTATTGCTCCATGCATTCTTCAGCATATTAAATGGGCGCTCCGGTATAATGCAACCCTCTTCTATATATGGTTCAACAATCGGACCGAATGGAAACATGTAGGATTTACGCTGCTCGTCTTTGTTCAATAAAGAGTGCACAACCAATTTTGTAGGGTCAAGCATATTTAGAAATTGTAAAACTTTGGCATCGATATTATCGCCGTTATATCCATGGAATTTCGCCAAACGGTAGGCCATATTTGTTTGCGGCATATTAACCCAATAATTTAGAGCACAGCCAGACATGGCAATGGCACGTTTGAAGAGATCACGGGCTTGCTCAGAAAGCATCAGCAAGTGGGTGGAAGCAGCACCGGCGCTTGAACCAAAAACCGTAACGTTCTTTGGATCGCCATTGAAGTGCGATATGAACTGCTTAATCCACTTAAGTGCTAATACTTGGTCCTTGAGGCCAGCATTACCAGGTATACTCAGTGAGGGATCGGCGAGACTGAGAAAGCCTGTTTTAAGCAGCGACAATCAAAGAGTGAGTAGAAAAAGGGAGAATGATTGAGGAAATTATATAGGTACGTACCTAAAGCGCATAGCCGATAGTTGAAGGTAACAAGCACCACATCTTCATTCATAAAGTAGTCGGGACCCAATGTTTCTCTTCTGGCGCCGCCTGCACGAAAAGACCCACCGGGTATAAATACCAGAACTGGTAGTGGTTTTTCCGAACTTAGCTGTTTCAAAATATTTAAAAATGATCTGTTTTAAGCTCAATCATTAATTAACTTACGCGTTTTGCATAGACATTTAGGTAGAGGCAATCTTCGGACCCTTCTATGCTCTCATTGACTGGGTTTAACTGTAAAGGCTTGCTAGCACATTTCGTACAGTCTTTAATGCCTTTCCATGGTTCGACCTGCGCTGGCGCACGGAAACGCAACTCGCCTAATGGCGGTTGCGCATATGGTATACCCTCGAAACTAAAAAATTTCTGATCGTAAATAGTTTTGGATTCTCGCCCTTTAATCCCGCCCAATGGTAAGGTGATAATGTATTCTCCATCCTTTTGTGCACTGCAAATAAGTTCCAGCTGTATTAAAATATTTTCCATTGTTGACATTTCATCCAATTGCTTTTGTTTACTTACTTTTGACTCATTATGCTTTCGGCTTATATTCGTTCTATGTTTTTTTTGCTTATCACCAAGTTTGTCTCGTTTCCTCTCCGGCATAAGAGTTCCGTCGCGGCACAACTATATTTTATTTCTCAGTAAATTGTTTCACACTTGTGTCACTAAAAATTTATTAATTAATATACATTTTGTTAAAGAAAATCAGTTATATTAAGCCTGCATTTGTATTTTCTAAAATGCTCTTAAATAGTGTCTGTCAAAACAAAATATATGTAAACAAAACCAAAAAATTTCTTTGTTGTAATGGAAACAGTCACCCAAAGTACTGAATGACTTAAAAAAGACTAGCTGCTGTGCGAGAAATGTGAAAAGAAAACTGTGGGGAATCAAATGACATACACGCACATATCCATCCATATGCTTAATAGATATAGAGATTGCTTAGCGCTGGAGAGAAAATCACTATCTAAGCTTTTCATTGATCGCCAGCACATTGACCCTCAGCTATCTGTGCACTACTATGCTTGCTCATATCACTGAGAGCATAGATACTTCTTAATGTGCTATTTGCTCACAGTGAGTATAGTTACTCACACTGGCAAGAGACTCAGAAGCCCAAAAGGTGGGCGAATGAAGCAAGTGTAAAATTGGCTCTCTGCTCTCCTAACCATGAAAAGAGGCGACAAAAAGACAGGAACACAAACTAAGCTGAATGAATGAATCCCGAAAATTTCGGAATTATAATGTTATAAACTCATAAAACAAGCAAAGTTTAAGCTCCGATAGAGCCAGAGAAATCAAAAAGTGCTGGATTCCAGGTTCAAGCAGGCTTTCTAAACACAACTGATTAAACGATAAAACGATACTCTGTACCTTAACCAGCCACAAAAATCATCAAAAATGTCATTACGGAAGAAAACAACATTCGTTTAAGTTTAATTATATATAATAACTTTCAGATTTTATTAGATTTATTATTACATTGACTTTCCTTATCTTAATAATAGCTAATTAAATTGTGTATACTTGAATTCTTTTGGACCAAGCTCTAGCATTCAAAACAGCTTCACACCCGCCTCTTTGTAATATTCATCATAAATATTACATATTTCCGATTCGGGCCAATCCACAAAACTAATTTCATTGGAGATATTCAAACATTTGTGTTCGCCAAATGCCGACAGCGGTTCCCAAACAGTTGGCTTAATGGAGCCTGCATTAGGGTCGGAAGTGCGGGCAAATGTTGTAAATAAATCCAACATATATTCTATGGTACGGAACTCTGCAGAGTCACGCGTCAACTTAAAGGATTCTGGCATGTAAAATATATAGGAGAGATCATCGACATGCGCTACGCCTCGCACATTCCGACCACACTTTTTAATGCGATACAAATTGAAATCGGGCGAGTCAAAGTCAAAGCGATAGAGATACGTAGGTGCTATCGCACGCCGTAGACGGGCACACATATAGCGGTGCATGGGATGGTAATAATGGCCATACGATGCTAACTGTGTGATGAAATATATGACTAATGGAGTTATCTCGAACAATGTGCAAATATATTAATACTTACTTTTATCAGGCTTAGTGCATTCTCTTTATCCATGACTTCATTGCCTATATGCAATTTGATTAATTTCTTTGCCAGCGCTTTTTGCGTTAGCAAATCGCATTTGCGAATTATTTCGCTGGAGAGCACATATTCTGGATGCAAATTGAGTATATCGTAGAGCTCCGGAATAGTTGTGTAGAACTTATAACTCAAGAGCGACTCCAAAGAGGTGCCACCTAGCATTAGCGGCATTCTATGGGACCAAGCTGTTGTTTCAGCAAACGCCTCGAATGGGTCTTTAGTGATTATTGCATCCATTGTGTTGGCATCTTCTATTGTCGGAAAGAATAGATAGGTTAGATTCCGCTCTTTCTCTTCTTTAGTTAGGAAATCTACGTTGGTCAATTTCTTGGCTTCAAGTCCATGCAGATAATTTAATATGCTTTCGTTGTCTTCGGAACCTTCATAACCAATATGTTTAGCGAAACGGAGCTGTAAATTGGGTATTTCGCGAATGTGTATAACTGTGCCGGACATGAGTATGGCTTTATGAAATAGCCCCTCACATTGCGGTGCCATCATAAGTATATGCGTGGCCGCACTACCCGCGCTGTGTCCGAAGAGCGTAATGTTATCTGCATCGCCATTGAAGTTGTGATAATTCATTTTAAGCCATTTTAATGCTGCTACAATATCTTTGAGTCCAGCATTTCCGGAAACTTGCAGTTCTGGGAAACTGAGGAAACCTGAGTAAAAGTAAAAGCGAAGATAGTTTTTCTACACAAACTGGCTTATGAAATAACGGCACGAAATGTCAAAAACAGGTTCTTGGACATTCGGGAATTTATTCTTTTCTATCCACAAACTTTGCTCAACATACCTAGCGCTCCCATACGATGTCCAATTGTTACGAATATCACATCTCTCATCATGAAATAGTCTGGTCCCCAGTTAAGACGAGACGCACTGCCAGTTGTGAAGCCACCGCCATGTATATAAACCATAACAGGCAGTGGTTTGTCTGACTTAAGCTAAAATGTTGCAAATATGAATAGACGCGGTTGCACATTACAAACTTATACTTCTGCTTACCTTCTTGGCATAAATATTCAGATATAGACAATCTTCGGAACCCTCAACAGAATCGGTATAACGATTATATTGTATGCATTTAGGTGCGATTTCAGTGCAATCGCGCACACCCTCCCAATGATCAGCTGACTGTGGTGACTTGAAACGGAGTTCTCCCAACGGAGGCTTGGCGTAGGGTATACCATCGAAGCAATAATACTGATCGCCATAAACGGTATCACGCAATTGTCCACGCACTTGTCCATGCGTTGTTGAAATTATCGGTTGTTTGGTATTTTCATCAATGCTGTCGATAGATTAAATATGTTAATATAGGAGCTTTGACGAGCGCAAAGGCGCAACTTACTAAGCAGTCATGCTGAGTGTTTTCAACTAGTCGCTACAGGAGTCAAATTACGATTAACTTATGCAAGTTGCCAGATATATTTCAGATAATTTAAATGGTTTACTTTGTCTACCAACTTAGGGGGCAGTGATAAGATGCTTATCAGAGCTTTCTGAAATGTGTTGCATATACCATGTAGCTGAGCGATGAAGTTAAGACGGGTAGCGGCGTAATACTTTTTCTCGCAATAAAATCCGTTATCAGGATAGTCTTTATTTGGGTAACGTTATAGCAATGTCAAGATGTCAACCATGTAAAGAGTTGCATTGATCTTAATAAATTCAGTCCATTGTGGCTCACCAGGAAATATTCATCTCTATTAAAGACTGAGAAATCAAATTCTGGGACGTCTGTGATTTTGCTAGCTTTTTACTAAATCAGTCAACAAAAATTGGTCTCCACGTTTGTCCGAAAACTCATAGTACTTGCTGCAACGCAATACTCAACTCACAATTGCAATTAACTAATATTAAATGGATGAAAACAAATATATATCTGTTATATTTTTAGGTTCAAACAAATAAAATATTTTACTAATTCTTCATTTATTTTTTACCAAAATGCATAAGTTAACAATCACCAAAAGTTTATTGAAATAATCGCGTAAATAAAACAAAAAACCCAAAACAAATAGAAAGCTGCCAAACACTTGCACATACTGTAAATCTTCTAACTAAAACTGTCATTTAAAAAGTCCTTATACCCGTCTCCTTAAAACATTGATCCCACAAGACGCACTTCTTTTCCTCCGGCCATTTGGCAAAGCTCAGTTCATCGCTTATATTAAGACAATAGCGAGCATCTGCAGTCAGCGGTTTTCAAACTAAACTGCTTGAGAGCAAAGGCTGTAATCCAATCTATCATGCATTCAATCATCTTGAACTCCTTCGAGTTACGCTGCAGCTTAAATGAGTCTGACATAAAGAAGATATAGGGAAGATCATCTACATGGCATATACCACGCACTTCACGACCACAACGGTTTATCCGAAACAAGTTGAAGTACGGTGAGTCAAAGTCGAAGCGATAAAGATAGGTAAGGGCTTTAGCATTAGGTATTCGTGTTTTGAGATAGCGATATATCGGATGGTACATAAAATCATATGACGATAACTTTTTATTACAACATCATTTGTTCATATATAAGACGGGGTTTACAGAGAATAATAAATAAATTTACATTTACACGCATAAGACCATACGATTGTTCAACATTTAATTCCTGCTGTTGTTGTGTGTGCACATCACATTTCTCTCTGACTTCGTGTGAGAGCAAGTACTCAGGATGCTTTTTGAGAGTTTCATATAGTTCAGGTTTCTTGGTGAAATAGTTGACTCCTAACACCAGCGGTATACTGTGACACCAACATTGCTTATCGGCATACATATCAAGTAGGTCCTTGGTCAGTATAGCATCTGGCGCAGACTCATTTTCGAGCGTAGGAGAGAATAAAAATAAATGGCCATGGCTTAAGTTCTTCTGGCGTAAAAATTTTAAGATCGCAATGGCGCTCTGCTGGCAATGCGTTGAGATGGGTAAGTATATCGTGATTATCCTCTTTGCCTTTATATCTCAGGTGTTTGGCGAAGCGACATTCCAGTTGGGCAAGGCGGCAAAAATTAATTTTCATGCCGGAGATTAGTATGACTTTGTGGAAGAGGTTTTCACAATGCCGCACATACATGAGCATTTCTTCTGCATAGCCCGAGCTATGTAAGAATAGTGTTATATTATAGGGATCGCCGTTGAAGTACTGACAATTTTTTTTATCCTCTGCAATGCCAAGAGGATGTCTTTGAGGCCCGCATTCCCGGACACTTGAGGTTCGGGTTCCGGAAAACTGAGGAAGCCTAAGTGGTTTGCGGTGAGGAACTATGTATCTTATTCGGTTCTTCTTAACAAAGTATTAAGCCATTTTGTTAATCTAGACTTGATTCGAATATTCACATAATTTGTCGCTTACCTAAAGCCCCTAACCCATATCCAATGCTTATAAGTATTAAAACTTTCATCATTAAGTAATCCGAACCTAAGTTATTGCGCGAGGCATCTCCGGTTGCGAAACCTTCACCAACCAAATAAACTTTATGTGACATTAAAAGGAATATTATTCCGCAAGTTTGTATTATATTTGGAATATTGCCAAGCTTACCTTTTTCGTAAATACATTTAAATACAAGCAATCAATTGTGACGACTGCTTTGCATACATTTCGGCGGACATATGGTACAGTCGCGTACGCCAAGCCAATTCTCGACCGGCTCTGGTGATTTAAAGCGTAAATTGCCAAGTGGTGTCTTCGCATAAGGTATGCCATCGAAACTGTAGAAGGTGTCACCGTAGATACCTTCATGCAGTTGACCTCCCACCTTGCCACTTGCTAAAAGTACTTGCTTTCTCAATTTAATAAAAACATTTATCACCATAAATTTGTAGATGTAATACAAATATTATCTTTTCCGGTCGGCTAGTGAAACCGGAGCTTATAAATAAAATTAACGCTGTGGACACTTCATGGCCACTCTTTTGTACAGCAAAAACTATTTCTGAAGTGGACAGAGCGAAGGTACCGTGACAAGGGCTCAATACAATCGAACAAGCTCGAGATCAAGCTGCGATTAAACACTTTGGAAACAAACCTAAAGCCAAACATTTGTGCGGTTATATTTACTTGAAAAAATGCTCTCAACCATTTACTTACCTACATATTTTATATTTACAAATTCTAGAATTTAAAAAATTTTTGTTGTACAATTTAAGAAATACTATGTCAACACGGTCATTACTCTTCTGCTACCTCATACAGACTATCCCACACTTGTAGTTTATGTATTTCGGGCAACTCGATCACTTCTAAATCCTCACTTACGTTTAGGCAATGCAGCTTGCCATCAGCTTGTAACGGCATCCATTTTTTGCCGCCGAGATTATCACAATTCGGATCAGAGTTTGCGGCGAACGAAGTCCAAATATCTATTTTCCGTTGGATTGTACGAAATTCAGGTGTGTCTTTGTCAAGCTTCCACGCGAAATCGCCAAAGAACAAGTACGAGTGATCATCCACATGTGAAACGCCGCGTACTTCTTTACCACAATAGCCGATACGCTGGTGATTAAAGTCGGGAGAGTCGAAATCGAAGCGATACAGGTAGGTGGGAGCGCGTGCATGTCGCAACCGCGCCTTGACGGTGCGCAATATGGGATGCCAGAATACTTTATACGAAGCGTACTACAAGTATAAATAAATGAAGAGGGTTTAGAGCTAAAATAATAATTATATACGGCTACCCAGAGTCACCTCGCAGTAGTTGAGTACATGTTCCATCTGCAATTCCCTCTCGGAAAAATGTGTTTCACGCAATTTCGCTGCCAATTCTCTTTGCGTTTGTATGTCATGCTTTTGTTTCAACTCCAATGGCAACATATGTTGCTGGTTTTCGTTTAACTCGTGCAAAAGAAACGGTGCCATATGTACGCGCGCAAACATGAGAAGACCCTCAAAAGATGTACCACTTATTATAACGGGTATATCGTTGCCCCAAGCATCGGCAAACAGAGCAATCGGTTGCTTCGGTATAATACATGTCTCTGTTAAATACGGTTCAATTACTGGGCCAAATGCGAATAAGCAATCATCCAAGTTTTCCTCTTTGGTAAGTAAGTTGTGACGTAACAGTTCGGCAGCGGGTAACTGCTGCAAGTACTCGAGTACATCGTGATCATTGTCATCGCCAGTGTAGCCATTAGCTTGTGCTAAACGTTTTGGTAACGCCTTAAGAGGTGACAGCGCCCATGGACAGAGCACGGTGCCAGACATTAGTATAGCTTTGTGAAAGAGCCCTTTCGCTAGCGGTGACAGCATCATAAAGTGTGTGGACGCAGAGCCGGCGCTCTCACCGAAAAGAGTTATGTTATTCGAATCGCCATTGAAATGTTTGATGTTTTCTTTAACCCATTGTAAGCCAAGAAGTTGATCTTTCAGACCCGCATTGCCCGGGGTGCCAACTGCGGGATCGTGCAAGCTGAGAAAACCTGTAAATATGACAATAATGTGTTTCAAAACACCATTATAGGGTTCAGAGGTGATCTATAGTTATTTGATAAAAGAGAAGACGTGATCATAAATTTTCAAATTCTAAATGTATATGGATATCGTCTATGGGAACAATCTGAAAAAAAAAAACCGAAGTAGCAATAAAATTAATTGCATGTTCAATTGCTTTTTTCCGCTGCAACTTGATATTTTAAACAAAAGCATACTAAATGCAATGTATGTAAACATATCTA